TGTCAACGTTCTTGAAAACATTGGGTGCAATGTTTTATGAGATATCGCGTTTAAATAAGTTTGAAAAGCGGTCAAAGTGTCGTGGTGACCCCGAAGATAAGGTCAAGGTCACCCAAATAAACTGGTGTCAGCATAATACCCCAATGTAAACTGTCACCAAATTTGAAGACATTGGGTACAACAGTCCATGAGATATCGCGTTAACAAGAGTTAAAAGTGTGAAAAGTGTCGTGGTGACCATGAAGATGTATGCTGTCACTAAATTTGAAGACATTGGGTACGACAGTCCATGAGATGTCGCGTAACAAGAGTTTGAAAAGTGTTCAAAGTGTCATGGTGACCTTGAAAATAAAGTCAAGGTCACCCAGATCAACCAGTGTCTGCATAATCCCTTAATGTAGGCTGTCACCAAATTTGAAGACACTGGGTACAACAGTTCATGACAAGAGTTAGAAAACTGGTCAAAGTGTCATGGTGACCTTGAAGAAAACGTCAAGGTCACCCAAATAAACTGGTGTCTGCGTAATCCCCTAATGTAGGCTGTCACCAAATCAGAAGACATTGGGTACAACAGTTCATGAGATATCGCACTAACAAGAGTTTGAAAAGTGGTCAAAGTATTGTGGTGACCTTGAAAATAAGGCCAAGGTCACCCAAATCGACTGGTGTCTGGGTAATCTCGCAATGTAGGCTGTCACCAAATTTGAAGACATTGGGTACAACAGTTCATGAGATATCGCGTTAACATGAATCGGGACGTACGTACGGGCGCCGCTGAATCCATAGTCCCCTGTTCCGCGTTGCGGCGGGGGACAAAAATAAACCCCAGAAGCCTGTTGCTTCAATTTCTTTTCAATGGGATTTCTGCTTTGCTGGGCTGCAGCCCCAATTTGTAACAGGGGTTTCTGAAATAAAAAGATAATGAACAAAACAAAAAATACATGTCTCAGGTTCATTATATTATTCATTGTAACTAAAAATTGAATTATTTTCTTTGGATTGTCTGGTGTGGATAAATTCATTTTGGGCTGGTAACATTTGGAAGTAACCAGCCCTGATGTCTGGCTGGGTTTTTGGCTTATTTCATACACTGATGGAATGTAAACAATTGCGCTGTACATCAGAAACTGTTGCACGCGATGTTGTCAGTGTTTGCCGAACTGGTTTCAATCACAAGTTGTGAGTAGGATATTCGTAAAGAGCACTCCAAGGAACATAACTCTATGGGGTTCACTTGAAATAATGTTTAGCCGGTAGAGGGCACGAGAGTCGATTAAATGCAACATTGCATTAATTCATTCGAACTTTTCAATCTAATATTGTAATCTAAATATGTAAGTTTGTTTGAAATAAATTATATGGTAGATTCCCTGAGGGCTGATAGTTAGTATTATCGAGAGAAATGCATTATTTATTTTTGGAGAAGTGTGGTGTGATATAGTGCCTTTAAGACTTCTGCCAATAACACATATAAAAAGTTAAGGATTAAGATTATGGTTGTGAATCTATTTTACAAGTGGCAGTCCCTGACACTACCAGAAACTTTGGCATTCTTACCTGGTTATAAACTCTCATAACATGGTCTTTTGTTTTAGAAAGATTCACTTTACTGGTTGTCTCGAACTTAACATAACTCAAGCTATTTTTGAGGTTCTAACAAGCATGACATAACAATATTTGACTGTATATCTGATTGGTTGTCAAGCAGATAATCATTTTTGATATCTGATAATATATCCAAGAATGTAGTGACAAGACCAGACAGCAAATGTTCCTGTATGCAACAGTAAGCATCAATTAATGATAAAACCATCTGTCATTTATACAAGGAGACAAGTTGACTGAAATGTCTGTAGTCAATTATAACAATAGTATTTAAACAATAAAAGATAAGATCTATCTGCAGGTAATGTAACTGCAGTGTATATTTACTATAACACAACAGGTATATTTGAAAATGTACAATCAATCAATCAAACAAATGAGATTTTTATGCAGCATTTTCTCATCAAACCAAGACACTATTGCACTCTTAGAACGGAGAAAACTACTGAAGATCAATCTGGGCAGCTACCAAACTACTGAATATAATATATCATAACTAGACATAAATGTTACTCTGACTATACAAGTATGATTTTCCCCATTAAAAAATAGTCCAATCTGACATCATTGCTGTATTCTCTCAAATACACATCTGGTAACTATGTATTCTCCCTGCCAAAACATAATGTATTTAAAGAAATTAACAATTACAATATATGCCAAGAAAAAGACCAAAGAAAGTAAAAATGTAACACCTTCTTACCACTATGATACAAATACCCCGATATACATAGACACATCTATCTAAATGGTTTATGGAAATAATTCTCTGTTTAAATAATAACAATAATAATTATGATGGTGATACATGTAACATGAACAGACCTTGGACCACAACTAGTTCAAAGCATGACAATAAATGACCATGTTTTACATACACTAAATGTTGACCTTGACCTTTGGCTTATTTTGAACAAAAGCTTTAAAAAACATGGAACCAGCCTTAAATTGCCTCACTGTATTTGCTATAATAATTCTCCAGGGAGAACTTCATTGAAAGATGTATTCTAATGTCAATAATCTTTGCTCCAAATCCAGTCATATTTTGACTACTACTTCAAAGGCGACCTTGACCATTTACATAAATGCAAGTGACACATTCAGTGAGTAGGATTTCTCAAGAATACGAACAATACATATGTTTTACTAAAAACATGAACACTGACCTTGACCAGAGATAAATCATGACCAAAACCTTCTCAAAGAAAGGCCCTATGCTTCAAAAATGTTAATGATAAATGTAGGAAATACTTTTTCAGAAAGTATCATGACAAACCCATTTCGTGAATTTTGCCTGTGCCAAAAGAATTACCCTGATGATTTGGAAAAGTCCCTTGGAAGAAGTGTCATGAATGTCATTAATCTTTGTGCGGCAGTAACTTGACAGAATGACCAGCGGTGGCAGTTAACACAGCCGTGACAGCCACCCCATTTCACAGAGTTGCTATTAATATCCAATAACATGACTCCACACCAGAGAGGAACATGCTGAAGCACATGGCATTATTATGCATGATGCATTCTCAACTGCCCAAGCTGCCATTATGCAAACAGATGAAAAACAATGTTCACTGACGAATGAGATGAGCTGAGCTCTATTGCCCAATCAAACGAGACCACTGACTGCAACCTGGTACACACTTGCCAGTAGTGAGACAAGGTAAATACATCAACCATATTGGTCTTGTCAACATTCTTATTGATCACACAAACAGGCTCTGGAGTACATGCAGAAATCTTGAATATCACAAAATATAATACACAGTTTTTTATGTCTTTAAATACATTTGCCAGATGATCACAGTTGATAACAATCAGGGAGGGGAATCCACTAAAAGAAGTGGCCATTATAAGCATACATCACTACACATCACAGTGAGAAGAGATTGCTGACGAAATAAAATGTAGATAACAACATTAACAGATGATGTAGTCAGTTGCAACAACAATTACATAAAATATATCACCAGTAACAGAATAACAATCAACAATTAAATCTTTGAAGGGCATTTCAGAATATATACTATGAAGATGCACGCTTGTCTTTTAAAAGTATTTACCTTTTCCTAAGATAGAATAAATAACAAAGATTTTAGAAACTGTCCCAATATAAAAAACGAGGCATTCAAATACTTGTCATCTGCCGAGTTTCCACTTTATGTTCAAGGTACATGATGATTTCACATTTAGTATTTTGATTCTCAGGTTCATCACTTCACACACGCAATAGACAGATATGTCGATAAAGGACTCTCAGAATAAGACTGGTTTTGTGTTCATGGTGGAAAGTGAACATGCAACCAGAGATTCAAAGATCTCGAAGGAGATAGGAAGATTTGTGGTCAGATTTTACTATGCTACTATATATAGATATAGTGGAACACTGAATCACGTGAGCAGTGAATTATCACATCACAGGGCCATACATCTGTCATTATATGGTTCATGCTCAAAGAAATGTAATTACAATTGTAATATGTCTTTAACATTATCATCTGACAGTGTCACTGTTAATCAGCAGAACCAAACTGACAAACTGCATTTTAATTCTGTGTGAACAATTTTATGGTAATAAATGTATGATGAGTGTTGACATGAAACAGCCACAGTGTACAGATTCTTTGTATCTTATATATCAGATATATCTATACACCTTTCATGCTATCCCTGTTGTCATTACTTAGTAATACCACTGTTTTATTATCTCATTGGCTTCATCATTATACATGTATTGGTATCTTTGTATATCAATCCTATTCCACTGGCTTTGAAATTATAATGCTATCATTGTACATTCATAACCATCCTTGTGTTGTGTAAACATATATATATTTTATCTGTGATCAAACCTAACTTTAAATACTGACGTATGGATAAACCTCGCCTATAAAGGTCTGTACCAAATGAGATCAATGTAAATGTGGCATGTGTTAAAATATTAAAATTATGTATGACGTCCATTTCCATGGGATCAGATTTACCTTAACTCTGTGGAGATTGTATGTGTATCACGACTGTGACTTAGTTCAAAATTTGGCAACCCATTGCTGGTACAGTCATCCCTCACCATAACTCGGGCCTTGGGGTCCATTAATGACCCCCCGCATTATGAGACACCCGCGGTATAGTAACTTATACATTACACGGAATAAAGGCCAAGTAAAATCGTATTTTCCATGGACATAACAGAACTGGTATTTCGTGTATTGTGCCCAGTCAAAACTATATTGTATTGTCAGAGGTGAAAAAACAAACTTTGTAAATTAAAATAGATACATGTACAGGAAACTTGCAATCAAACATCACTAGATATGATAATTCAATTGTTGTTCCTGTTATGCTACCTGTTATTCAACTAAGCTGGAAATAGCAATCAGCTGTGTATGCATGTTTTGGTCCAATGTACCATTGATTCAGTTAAAAACAATCCAAAAATATAACATCAATTAATTAATTAAATATAACATCAGTAATAGAAATCTCCCCTCAAAATCAGATATCAATGTAATTGTTGTTTGTAAATGTACTACCAACACAACTAATTATTTTAGGCAATTTGGCAACATATTCTACTAATACTTCAGATCAATGATAATACAATTCAGATCTCCAGCAGTACAATGCTGAAACAATCATGTTTAACAAATACATTGTATATAAAATATGTCACTATCAAATCAAGACATAAGCAAAGTTTTCCCAATAAAGGAAAGGTAAATATACATCTATAAAATCTTTATACAGAGAAGTTTCATATCAGAGTGAAAGATCTGATTTTAATCTGACAGAACTTAAAGTCATAGCCTAAAACCTGACTACAGATCCAGACATCAACATAGGTCTTCTACAGCAACACAAGTCTTCTAAATGGCCAAGATGAGTTTTGTTACTACAACAGAAACTATCAGGATCTACAGGCATCACACAACATGGAGGACCAGTTGAACAAACAGTTGAGGTCTCATAAAAGACCAAACATAGTACAGCATGGCAAAACAACAGTCACACATTTGATACACAGTCCCTGAAGAGATCAGATAAAGCTTTGACACAGAATATATCAAACGATATACGAGGTGAGCCATGTTGTATTGCATATCAATAACATTGCATGAAATGTCTCTCAATTTCATAATGCATAACAGCTAGTCAGAAAGCCTGCTACTTACATTTCAATGTATCATGGGAACAAAATTTAAACATTATCAAATCGTGTCTCTTAGTGAACATTAGACTTGTTAAAACACATTTCTGTTTCGTACTTATCTATGCTGCACAATTGTCTATGTAAACCTAACAAGATACTATCTCATTCAACTGAAGTCAGCAATCTATCTTACAGGCGTAATCTATCAGTCATGTTCAAGTTTTCAGTTTTACACTGCCATGCAAATTAGCTACTGTTTAATGCCCAGCATTCATTCCTCAGTTAAAGAAGCATGATACATGGATTTCCAACTGAATGTAGATTTCCTCTGTATTATACCTGAAACAGTTTTCTGTAGACAGGACTGAAAGTATGACCATTAAATATTATTTCTAAAATATAGCCAAATTATCATACACCTACCTACAGAAGACATCAGTATAGTCACATCACAGAAGCTATTATCTGACAACAAAATGTGCTTCAACCACTGAGAGACAACTGGTTGGCACAACTAAGTACAGAAAGGACAAACCTGATCACAAGATAGTACAACTCTTCGATTTTGCTTCATCCCCTTTTTGTGACCGTTTTGAATTTCTTCGTTTGACCTTTTCTCTTCCATTTCCCTGCGTGATGATAGAATCAAATCCTCTATCTTGTGGTGCCAGATGAAAATTCTGGGGAGGCGGAGCTTGATTTGAAACTGAAGCAGGCTGAACAACCGGAGTTGTTTCTTGCTTCCCTGGCTCCACGTACTTCTCAGTGGGTATGTCCTCTGGAATGTCGGGGAGAGGTTTGAAGAGTTGGTCTTTGATGTCAAGGTCATCTAAGTCCCCGCCATCTGCTTGTACCGAGTTTTCAAGATCAATCAGTTGTTTTGCCTCTTTGACAAGAATGTCTACTGCCTGCTTTGTGAAAGGGTGCGACTGGATGATGGAGGCAGAAAAGTCAAGCTGAACTTGATTTACTGAAAGGAGAATAAGGACACATTTAATTTCATTTTCAGATTATGCTAATGTTAAAATTGTATGGACATGTTTAATACATACATGCCTCAATACAGGTGGGTAAACATTGTAGATTTATTAAACAGTGATATCTTCAACGGGTAAGTAATAGTCAGTGTTTAATGTTCCAATATGTATTCATCACAATCTTCAATTCCACAATGTGTTAAGCCCATTTCTGGTGTCCTCCGCCATGATATTAGTGCTATTATGGCAAACTAAACTCAGTCAGTCAGTCAGTCAGTTTAATGTTCCAATATATCATATTTTAGTATAGGGCTTTATATCATATTATATATTCAATTCAGAAAATAAATCATGTCAGGACAACAAATTATTTTGGTCTGGCTTCAGTATGGTATACTTCTAGTGGATGTTTTCCTATTGTACTGAAGTAACTAGGTATTACTTCACTTTGTCTGCATTATTCATTTCCCATCTGTACTGTGAAATGGGAAATATATGTAAATTATAATCTTAGCATTTAGCCGAAAAAAAAATAACTTCTTCTTGCTTAACATAGTGGAACACTTGTATCTCCCTAACTGAAGCTCCTTCAATGTAAAATCACTAATTAGTACACCACTCTAGTTACCTCCCTTCCACAAGCTGGGAACGAGGGCCACCTCTACCCATGTGCCTCACTCTCTCCTCATATACTGAGCCCAACATTTGAATTTACAGGAAATCCAAAGTGTTATGTGGGGAGGATGGGAGGGGCTTACCTCATGAGTCAGGATAAGTATAAAATATCAATTTTACTCTAAAAATTACATATTTTTCCTTATCCTGACTCATGCTCTTTTTGCTTGTAGAATCCTATGGCAAAGGAGGTGGGAATATATAATACTTTGGATTTTAATAATTAGTGATTTGAACTGTGATGATTGTAATAACCCCATGGGAACTTCATAAAGGCACTGAACTGATGAATTCCTGCTGCTAACTTATCAGCTGCCATATAAAGGTTATTACAATGTACTTATTATGATAAAGTATATATAACATTAATACAATGCTTAAGACTAATAGACTTAAGCTTGTTAATATGCTAGTATAAACTCCTTAGAGTTTGTTAGCTAAAATACTTAAGATATAAACATAGTACTAAGCTTAAGATATGATTAAACTTAAGCTAATTATATAATAGCAAAACTCTTTAGAGTTTGTTAGTTAATATACTTATATGATATAGATATAATGCTGAGCTTAAGATATGAATAAGCTTTAGTTACATATATAATAGCAAAACTCTGTAGAGTTTGTTAGCTAATATATTTTTACAATATGAGTATAGTACTGTGCTTAAGATATAATTAACTTAAGCTACATATACAATAGCCAAAAACTCTGTAGAGTTTATTAGCTAATAGATTTATAATGTAACCATAGTACTAAGCTTAAGATAAGATTAGACTTAAGCTAAATGTATATAGCAAAAAAAACCTCCTTAGAGTTTATTAACTAATATACTTTTATGTTATAAACATAGTACTGAGCTTAAGATATGAATAAGCTTAAGTTACATATATAATAGCAAAAACTCCGTAGAGTTTGTTAGCTAATACATGTTATAATGTAACCATATTGCTTAAGATATGATGAAACATAAGCCAAATAGCAAAAAACTCTTTAGAGTTTGTTAGCTAATATACTTATATGATATAAACATAGTACTGAGCTTAAGATATGAATAAGCTTAAGCTACCTATATAATAGCCCAAACTCTGTAGAGTTTGTTAGCTTATATATTTTTACATATGAGTATAGTACTATGCTTAAGATATAATTAACTTAAGCTAAGTATATAATAGCCAAAACTCTGTAGAGTTTGTTAGCTAATACATTTATCATGTAACCATAGTACTACTCTTAAGATATGATTAACTTAAGGTAAATATATAATAACCAACTCTGTAGAGTTGTTAACTTATATATTGTATGATGTAATAATCATAGTACTGTGATGATAAAAAGAACTTAAGCAAATTATATATAGCATGTAGCTATTTAGTACTGTTATAAGATAAGTAGAAATCTGTAAGATTGACTTATCTTCTCCGAGGAACTGTCAACTGTTGTGCGAGGACCATGGGATCGAATTGGTGGATACCTGAGACGCCCTCGGTGGTGATATCTCTCAGATAATGGTTGGCAACCACCATATCGATCTCCAGAAATAAACCCTCCATTATTTCAAATAACATTTGTGTAGATCAATTGTAGAAGTTAGCTTCTAATATCATGAGTATTAAAAGCTCATGGAGGGTCGGATTGGGTCCATCCGCCTTGTATGCACGTGAGTATGACAGTTCTGATCCAAACGGAGATATAGTACGTGAGACTTCATTCTGCATAAGTTGATGATAGAGGAAATAATCTGTTGCATTTTTCCCTCCTGTTTGGTTCGGGTGGAGATAAATTTACAGTGCTCTTGCTGGCCATCGTGATAGAATCATCGTGATCATGGAGTCCAAGTATGTCATCCAGGCGTGTTCATAAACCTCACTTGTGAGGTGTTGGAGCACTATATTCAGATCCCCAAGTTGGAGGGTGAAACTTCCGCTTTAATCTCCAATCAGAAAGCTTAAGTAGGTTTACTAACCATCTAGTTGTGTTAGTAGCTTGATGATGAAATTCAGCTGTAGTTCTGAGACGCTGTGGATTTAGATCCACTTGTATCCCGTCGTCTAGGTTATTCGCCGCGAAGTCCTTTGACGATGTAGGTGCACAACCAGGTGTGTCTGTCCTCGTTGAACTTTATGTAAAATGCAGCCTGACTGCCGTGTTCTCGTCCTGACTTGACAGGGAGGTCTCTAACCTGAAGAAAGCAGCCCAATCATGAAGGTTCAGATTAACTGGACTGTAAGGAGGCTTGCTCGTTCACTGATATATAGTTGTCACTTGTAACCTAAGTCTTGAACTGTGAACTAAGATCGACCTCTCGTGTAGAGTCAGTGTCCAACACGGTCCAATCAGAACAAGGCATTTTGATTCTGTAGAATACCCGCTGTGATCGCCACCGGTGTAGCAGGAAAAAACCTTGTATAAAATCGGGCCGCCATTGATATTAGCATAATCGTCGGTCTTCACCGTGAAGCTTCGAAGTTACCCGAAAGTGACCACATGTTTCGAGGGTTTAAGGTAAACGCATGAAACCTCCGTAAATAATTACTCGCTTGTAATATTAATGCTGGGTAGGTTATTTTCCTGGCTGTCGTGAAAGTAACTTCAGTTTTGAATATAATTCACTTCCTTATATAAAGGTACAATAAACTTGTAAGTTGTCAGCTTGTAGACTGTATACATGAATGTATCGTCATAATTGTAGAATTAAAGCTGAACTTGTTGTACATATTTCTTCTCAGAAACTTTGACGATTATGAGTTATACCGCTGTAACAAGGCTGCTGTTCAATTTCGATATTGAATTGTCTGCAGATCTGGCGTAATGGTCACGCGATGTAGATAATCGTATCAGAAGTCCGGGATTGCATATTCTAGCAATCTATAATGAAAGGTTGATTCCTGTGAAGATCTATGAAACGCCGCTGACTAATTAATACAGCGACGTTCTATGTTGTAAATAGCCTGTGCAATTGTCTTCGCGTAGTTTTATAGACGGCATATGGCATACAGTTGATAGACAACTTATGCGATGTCTTGAACGGACTGACGAGTAGATATATATGACGAGTGGCTAATATATGGAGACCTTGGAGGAGATTTCCTCGGTGGACGCCGGAGACTTCGCGAAGCTCTCGAAGTATCCATTCTAGATTTTCTGTGTGAAGTAGACTTGGAGCCACTTAGCCTTCGCGACCTTCGCGAAGGTATCGAGTCAGAGCCCGATCAGTATATATATATACGACCTCTGTGTTCAACAGGAGTGAGTGAGTGAGTGAGTTTAGTTTTACGCCGCACTCAGTAATATGTGGGGTCGGTGAAGCGCTACTCCTCCGCGACGTCCCTTGTAACTGGTGAGGCTCTAGCTCCTTCTTCGCGGAGGTGGCCTGGGACTTCTTAGCGAAGTGTCTAGAGTCCGATCAATATATGAGCGCTTAGCTTCATACAGGGTGTGGTTCTTGCTGGTTCTGCATAAGTAGAGCCGGTGTAGATCATCCTATCATCTTCAGAAGTCGCGGTCACCTAAATCTGGTGATAAGAATCTCATTGATCGCTCTAGATCTATTAAGGCCAAGAACATACGCCTCTGGCGCTTTGAACTTTTATGGCTTTACGGTAGGCTGTGTCCACATTCTGTGGCACCGCAGCAATCGAAGTCGATCGGAGGTAAGGTGATGGCGCCTGCATCGCCTTCCTTTATCAGGTATGTCTGCCGAAAGTTGCCACTCTTGGAAGGTGAAGAGAGGTCTAGGTTGTTTACCATCCAATATCGTGATCTCAGCATCTGAGAAAATGATGCCTCCATCATCTTCTATCCCAGCATCGCTGATGAGAGTTGATGCTCTTCTGATGGTGGACTGTGTATTTCTATCTCTATGTCGGGTGACGCCGGGAGACCTGACTGTAGACTTGTGTGCAGACTTGTGTGGTGACCTGTGAGGCGTCGACGTGGTGATGTACGAGGAGATCGGGCGCCGTGAACGGCGAGGAGATCATCTTGGTGATCTGGCGCCTATGGGTTGACCTTCTCGAGACCTGTGAGGAGAATGTTGATAGCTTCGGCTCTTGTGTAGTCAGGTGTCCTTCGCGAAGGCCTTCGCGAAGCTTCCTCTGCGTCCGGTCCTGGGGAACGGCGACTTGACCTTCGCGAAGGCTTCCTTGAGGTCTGGTGGTCTGAGTCCGCATCTAAGGATGAAGCCGAGGAAAGGTGATGATCTATCCCGCCTTCGCGGGCTGTACATCTGGGTCCTTCGTTGAGGTGGTCTGCGACTTCCTTCGCGAAGGTGGCTTCGCCGTGGCTGCTACGCTGACAGGGGTGCCTCTGGGTGTCGCTCGCGTTGGAACCTTCAGCGAAGGCTCAGGCCTTGGGCTGGCTGCTTCTCCAGTCTGTAGTGGCCCTCCATCATGATCATGATTTGCCGCAACAGTTCATCTGGGATGGTCTGCGACGAAGTAGTCGGTGCCCTCTCTGCGATGTTAGCGGCGGGCCCTCAGGGAAGTCGCCTGATCGCCAGTGTAGAGACATCAGGCTGCATGGCGATCTCTGCTGATGTCACTGTAGCTGTCTCGGTCAAACTTCTTGTATGCGTCGTCGGGATGATGATCGGCTGATCATCGTAGAGAGGCCCAGTTCAGCGGCTGGAACAATCTCGGTTGAGAAAGTCCTAGTAGACTTCGCTGATTTCCCCTCAGAGGTCGACGCTGCCCTGGGGGTGCGCGGTCCGCGCTGAGTGTTGGTAGGCAACGGACCCTCAGGAAGATCATAGAATATCAGCGTTGGTACATCAGGCTGCATGTTGATCTCGCGCTGACATCACTGTTGCCGACATCGGTCATTCTTTTGATGTAATTATCAGGTATGATGATCGGCTGATCATCATACAGGCCCAAATCTCGCGACGGGAACAATCTCGCTGAGAAAGTTCAAGTAGACTTCGTTGATTTCCCCTCAGAGGTCGCGTTGAGATGCAGTAGAAGCCCTCTAGTCTTCGGCTGCGCGACGATGGGATGTCTGGGGAAGCAGGACGCTTCTTGGAGGCGGCGGACTACGCCCCACTCTCCACCACTCTAGCGGAACACCAGACGGGAGGGGTCGACCAACAGCAGTAGACTGGCGAGGGATTCAGGTGTATCAGTCATGGCTAGACTCTGCATGCATGACCTATCTGCTGCGCCGCCTCAAACGCAGTAATTATTTATTAAAGGCAGAATTGATAAATTAGTACCGCAACTGCAACGTGAATAACATGAAACATGGCGCAGTACAGCTAGGGCATATTAAATGCGGATCAGCAGCAGAATAAAAACGTAATGTGCAATAGTACAGAATTTTATCAACGTAATCCACTGAAACAACACGGCCCCCGTGAATAAACAGTAGAAACACGACTAAATATCAATATATAATTGTTGAAGGATACTAGCTAAACCTCTATAGATGTCTATACGAGGTAACTAACTAAATATAATCAAAGGATATAGTGTGTCGGGAGACACAGGCGCTTTCACGCCCAGCTCACTGGGCGAAGAAGGAGAGAGTGAGGCACATGGGTAGAGGTGGCGCCCTCGTTCCCGCGCTTGTGGAAGGGAGGTAACTCGTGGTGTACTAATTAGTGATTTAACATTGAAGGGAGCTTCAATTAGGGAGATACAAGTGTTCCACTATGTTCGCAAGAAGAAGAAGACAAGCAAAAAGAGCATGAGTCAGGATAAGGAAAAATAATTCTTTTCTAATTTCTACTTTTTGAACAAAGTTACAACTTGTTAAAATAATCTGACCTGAAAAGATGGATAAGTCCCTATAATGAAAGTTGCAGGAAGCATTTGTTTATCCACTCACCACCAGGTGGCAAGATAACTAGGGGATAGAAGCCCCCCGGGGGCTGGTAAATGACACGGGTCAGAACCATGTTCCTGTTGACGGTCAAGTAGCAGATGACCAGTTGCTCCTCATGGTCCTCCAGGGTGTTGTCCAGATACAAAAGACCCCAGCCAACCAGGTCCCCCTTCTGCACCACATCTCTGGCTGGAACACAACATGACACTGCATTCATACATCTTTTGTGGAATACAGCATGACAAAGCATGAATACATCCTAGGCTGGAATACAAAATTACACTTCATTAATACATCCGAGGTTGGAATACAACATGACACTGCCTTAATACATCCTTAACTGGAATACAACATGACACTATTGATACATCTTTGTTGGAATACAGCATAACATGGCATTAATACATCCTTGGTTGGAATACAACATGATACTGCATGAATACATCCCTGGATAGAATACAACATGGAAGTGCATGAATACATCCCTGGATAGAATACAACATGGTACTGCATGAATACATCCTTGGTTGGAATACAACATGATACTGCATGAATACATCCCTGGATAGAATACAACATGGTACTGCCTTAATACATCCCTGGATAGAATACAACATGGTACTGCCTTAGTACATGCCTGGATAGAATACAACATGCTACTGCATGAATACATCCCTGGATAGAATACAACATGGTACTGCATGAATACATCCCTGGATAGAATACAACATGATACTGCATGAATACATCCCTCGATAAATACAACATGGCACTGCCTTAATATATCCCTGGAGAGAATACAACATGATACTGCATGAATACATCCCTGGATAGAATACAACATGGTACTGCATGAATACATCCCTGGATAGAATACAACATGGTACTGCATGAATACATCCCTGGATAGAATACAACATGGTACTGCATGAATACATCCCTGGATAGAATACCACATGATACTGCATGAATACATCCCTGGATAGAATACAACATGGTACTGCCTTAATACATCCCTGGATAGAATACAACATGGTACTGCCTTAATATATCACTGGATAGAATACAACATGGTACTGGATGAATACATCCCTGGATAGAATACAACATGGTACTGCGTGAATACATCCCTGGATAGAATACAACATGGTACTGCCTTAATACATCCTTGGTTGGAATACAACATGATACTGCATGAATACATCCTTGGATGGTACTGCATTAATACAATTCCCCAGCCATACAATAAGATATTGTATTAATACAATCATCATACCTTCTCCTGTAGCCCAGAATCGGAGAAAGTCCTGCTTGAAGTTGGACTGAGGTGGAGGATCGAAGGGACTTGCTGTTGACAAGGCCAGAGCTGGAGGAGGGGAGTCATCATCAAATTTGTCAATAATCTTGACCTCAAAATGGTTGTACCCTGCAACAAATGGATGGAAGAACTGTGGGATCATCTACACACACTGCTGTTTATATGTATCTCATCATTCATGCATCAACACATTGGAAAGCTGAATCTTCTTGACCTAATATAATTAACTTCTCTTCTAAGACTATTGTAACAGTTGATGTTCCATCTCATACCCCATTCTGTGTCAACACTCATGTGTGAACAGATCCACCAAAGGATGGCAGAAATCCCAGTCACAGTCTTAGTGTTAATCATGGCCCAACTTTTTCATAAAACTCGACACACATTTATTTTACAAGTGAAGTTCTTTATATGAATCCTCCACCCTACCTCTATTGAGACTGTATGGAGCTTGGAGTGCGACCGGAGATATGTGATCCCTGACGTTCACCTGGCAGGCTGCCTGGTCCACTTTGGAGCCGCTTGGCAAACACCAGTGGTCAGCATTGGTCTGGAACAAGATGGCACCGATGATGGTCAGTACCACCAGGACAACTGCATATCATACTGTTTGTTAAATCAGCTGAAAACACTGGAAATACTTAATGCAGATCCATATGTGTTCAGTCATCTACTTTCAACTGCCATGCTCAGAATACGAAAAGTATAGTGCAAAAGGTTTGCTGCTTTAGTTTAAAACTGTATCTAACAGACCTTAGCCCAAGTCTAGCATAAATTTATACAAACCTGTAGAGGTTATGAATTCTTTGAAGAAAGTCCTCCTTGGGGTACATATAAGCATTAAAATGTCCATTTTAAATCCTACGACAGTTGTAACTATATTTTTAATAAAATATTTACAAAACAAAAAAAACTCGTTTTGTCTTGTGAGACCACCCCTACAGGGCCCCACGGGACCAACACAGCCAAGAGCAGGTAACTCGCCCGTCTACCTCGTGCCTCACTTTTCATGCTGAACGTGTCAGACAGAATGAGGGAGGAGGGTGGCATTACTTGTTGAGGACTTTCTTCAAAATTCATAACCTCTACAGGTTTGTATAATTCTTTTTCAGAAGAAGACCTCCTTGGGGTACATATAAACATATGACAGACTCCCAAAGATATTTGAGACAGGAGTGGCATTCTGTCTGGCAACAACTAAACCCGTGGTGGAGTGAAATCTACAACCGATACGGAAATAGAAAACATCGAGCCACCTGACCGCTGATGTCAATCAGACGGGGCGGGAACTAGAGAGCCCAAGCTTACATGTCAATTGGCTCAATATCAATGACATAAAACCCGGCCCCCAACCATTACAATGGAAGGAATGTATGGGGACATGCCGAAACAACTCCCAACCCTAATATAGCCCCAGCCAGACAAGCGTGGCGAGAGGTATAAGGGTAGGGAAAGCTTAAAAACTTTAAACGCTACAAAGCCAATAACCCAGGAGTCGAGCTAAGAAGTACTGCAAACTAATGCTCGATAAAACCCAGAGAAATTATTAGCCTCGCTAAAACTTTTCTGAGGAAATCGAACGAGTACAAACGCCATGCATTGTACGAGTGAAAAACACCCCCACCAAACACTCTCTGCGTGAGGAGGGTAAGTGTAGGCCACCATCCCACAAAGCTGATTAACACAGACTCCCAAATACCGAAGGCTCGGGAAGAGGGAAAACCTGTAAGCGTACAAAAATCCTCTGAATAGCGGAAAGCGTAGCTGAACATGTGTTGGCTCACCATTACACTAACCTGGTCCGCGTGACATGCGGCTCGGCGGGAGGCATACCAAACAGTGCCCGTGGGGGTTCGTACCCAATTCCGCCGCAAAGGCGGGTTAATAGCATATGACTGGTTAAAGCGTTCAAAGCGGACCCTCTCTTGAAGAGGGCGTAAGGGACATATGTACACCCAAAACCGACCCAACCCGAAGGATGGTAAAGGCTAATACGATGTAGTGATATGAAATATATCGACATTGAACACAGAACCGATACCAATGACCAGTTACTGACTTGGTCAGGGTGGCAGGTCACTCTCCACTGGAGAGAACCGAAAGACCGAACCGAACCGCGATCCTTAGAATGCGTGTCAAGTTGGTAATGGCGAATGAAGGCGTTCTGCTGGCTCCAAAGAGCGACAGAACCGATCTCTTCATTGAGCAGTGCCGCTGTGTAATGTCAACAAAGCGGCATCTGCCCTACCCAGTCTGCCTTCAACCCCTCGGGGGGAGGTAAACCTTATCATTGTAACCATACAATTATGGAAACAAGCCAACGAGATAAGGTGCTTTGCTAGCAGACTCCCCAGTCTTCCGCCACCCGAACAGCTCACATGGGTACCCATACGGATCCTTGTTGTTCGCTTAGTTTGACAGGAACACGGGTGAGCAATCGAAGATTGGTCCCGGTCGCGCGAAGGCTGGTTAAAGTAGAGTTGAAGTCGCGATATGAGCAGTCACGTGAAAGCAATATCGCGACTGAGAGTGGTTGGTATCCGGGAGTCGAATACGGACATGATCAGTATAAAATACTGTCAGTGTCGGGTCAGTGGGAATCGCATGGATGTACCCGACCCTTCTACCAGAGTTCACCACAACAAGTAAAGTCGTCTTCCACGTCAACAAGTGAAGTGAGAGAGACGATATACTTGAAAAATTTGGGCCAGACAGCCAATTGTGAATAAGTGGCAATTTTAAGGTGGGCTGGGTTCATGCCAGCAGAGCACCATCGAACGAGGTGTGAAACGTGGAACTAGCCATGGAGTACCCGGCAATGGTGGAGGTCATAAGGCTCTCAACCAAAATGAGGTTATAGTAACTCCAATATCCGAACTAAATCCGCAGAATAGGGATTATGAAATCCCCCTATCTGCACACCAGCGGGCCCCACCTATCAACACACTGAACGGGTGTCGAATCCCAGCCAGAATTGTGTCTGCAACGGTTGCAGGAATTCGCAGTGTGTTATACCGACAGAGGCCAAGCCACCCAGTGAATCCGAGGATTCGGTGTGGCGCCCGTTCAGAGTGAGAATGTCTGGTCGAAGAGGTAATTCGAATCCGGCGTCAAGGGATCGAACACCAACCTGACTGCTGTCAATTCCAGCACATTGATGTGCAGGTTGTAACTTCGTCTCAAGAGGCTGCAGGTCACCCAGAACATCGCCCTAACCCGGTAGGGATGTATCTGGCTGGACTGAGAGCGACGGTGTCTCCAGGGTGGGACCTCGAGAGAATCTTCGCGTCTGTCCATCTGACTGCGTGAGGTTGACAATTCCGCCCAGTTTAAGTGGAAGAGTGACCAACACTGATCGTGGGGTCCCCAGACTCAATAGTTATCTGAAACCACAATGAGCCAGTCGACTATGTACGGGTGACAACACCGGCACTGCGATCTGGCTATCTGAGCTGTAATAAACCTCAATTTGGTGAACACCCTTGGCACCGTAATGTAGCCTAAAGCGACACCGCCGAAACTGGTAGCACGTCCGTCAAACAAGAAACCGGAAGGTAAATCTTGAAATCAGGGTGCAATGGAACAAGGAGGTACGCGACCTCGAGGTCGATTGACATGCGCCAATCCCCTGTCTCGGCAGATGAGATCACCGAGCGCGGTGTCTCCATCTTGAAAGACAGTACCTCTATGAACTTGTTCAGCTCCCAGATGAGAATGGGTCTGAACATTCCGTTCGTAATGGCAACGATGAAATAAATGGAGTCAAGCCCCACATATTCCTGACCATTGGAAACCACCACACTGGTTGCCTAGCCCAGCAGAGACTGGATCTCGGCACGGAGTATTGTCGCCGTCTCCCGGGAAGCCGACACTGGAGTGTGTCGCTCCGACCTGGGATTGCGGCAGAATATAGTAACCCCAGCAGTTGGCAACTTAACGTTTGCCGATGCCTGGGCACCTGAGGAATTAACGAGAAGCTCAACAGACTTCCGTATTCCTCGAAACGGTCCCGGGCGTATAGGCCCATAACCGCCCTCATCATTTGGCTGGCACAGCTACAATGCAGTCCCTAGCCAGATGAGAGTTGCCCCGTCAGATGCCGCCCAGATTAAGCCCGGCGAAAAAATTCCACCGGCGCTCTCTCCCTTTCCACAAGCTCCCTCAGCAGAGCTGAGAGATGCGCCGAGTGGAGCATACAGCGTTGAGCTGTGAAGGGAAAGAACGGCAGACTTAAGGGAGAGAGTGAGGCCTTGTCCCGGATGCGTGCGAAGTAGGCTTCCCTCGGGGAGGCTTACTCCGACGGTTCGGGTATTCGACATGGACAACACCTGAGGCAACACAGCAGCGATTCTATCTCGCACTTGCCCTCAGGGACGAACCTACTCAGTGGTAAGTTCAAAGTGGCTTAAAATGAGCGAAGCTCAAATCGACTTGTCCACTGTAATGAGCCTGAACCCCGATTCGAGGCACATGTGAGAAGCCTGACAATCAAGGTTTCGCAAGCACTCAGACAGACCTCGGAGCGGCGAGGTGACCGTCACACTCGATGGCATCTTGGTCAAGACGTCGATAGACATCAGGCCGAGACCTGAACTACCGGAGCAAAGACCTGAACTACCGGAGCCGGGAATCTGCGCCCTACCAGTGCCGAAGCCTGGGTCGGCGCTACCCACGGGGTTCAGAGAATCCGCAGAGCCGAAGCTCAGCTGTTCTAGACCGAACCCCGATCCCGAGACACGTGGGAGTAGCCCGATAAATCAGGTTTCCCCAAGTACTCTCCAAAAGCACACTAAGCATATAGTCAAACATAGCCTATAGCGCTATATAAATACCCATACATACACATGTATGTGTGTACATATATATACACAGATATATATGTCTATACGTAAGTGCTCGGGTCGGCGGTTCGAGTTCGAACCCCGATCCCAAAACACATGGGAGTAGCCTGGCAATGCAGGGCTCCCCTGGTGTACACGGGTAGACCTCGGAGCGCCGAGGTGATCGGCAGCTCAGTGGAACCTAGACCGGGGCGCTGAGAGGAACCTGCCGATATACAGGTTTCCCGGGCAACCCCGACTGACCACTTGGCGACGAGCTGTCCCCGAGCTGGTCGGCGCCTAGGCGACCGCCAGTCAGGGCACCAGGCTTAAGACATGGTGAAACCTGCATCGCCGGGCCGCGGACGAACCTGAGCCGAAGCCAGGTCGCCACAAGGTGTCGAAGGGGCCCCTGAGCTGGTCGGCGCCTAGGCGACCGCCAGCCAGGGCACCAGGCGAAGACAGGGTGAAACCTGCATCGCCGGCGCCAGGCGCCCGTGACAAACCTGAGCCCGAAGATAGGTCGCCACAAGGTGCCGAAGGCACACCATCACCTGAGCCGCAGCCAGGATCAAGCGTTCTCCGAGCAGCCAACCCCCCCAGATGCGTCCGATCCACCCCCGACGACAGGCGTGCTGAGCTCCTTGCGGAACCCAGACAGCACCGTGTCAATCGGGGATTTCACCACAGACGACACCTGGTTAACTTACCTTCGAGATCAACACTATGCGAGCCGAGCTACTCACGGAGCCCGGACATCGTGCTATCAATCATCGACTTGACATTATGTTGAATATGTTGCTGCAATAGTAAAGCAAATTGAGTCATATTTAAGTCAGCAACATTGTTTGCGGGGGATCGATAAAGGGATTTCCTTAGAAACCTTTTATCAAATATTATCCCGCCTGGAAGCAGATTAGTGAAAAACATAAAATCTGGCGCGTGTCGGAAGAAGAATGCCGCGTGGCGCAGAAACCCAGACAAAACCACAACCTCGGCCTATGAGCCACGTTGTGTATAAATAGCGATTAAATATGTATCATAATACAACATAATGTAACAGGAATATTGGCGCTTAAAGGCTTATTATGAGCATCCTTGTGGCGTCCTCGGCTAAACACCGGGCACACTTTATAACCATCCTGTGGCGGTAGTGTTACTTGCGCACTGCTTGTAGGGCTTAAACTGCAACAAACAGAACCACGCCAGTGTTACTAGCAGGAACTGTGAAGCAGCAAACACATAAACACAAGTAATAGCAAGAATAACCTGCGGGCAATATATAAATGCTACAAGCTACAGCCATTTAAATACTAAACATACAATGCAAAGCAGAAAAAAGGCTAGCCACCCTGGTTTACATAGAGTAAAGTTGAGGTGATCTGAAAGCGAACACTATCAAAATTACCCAACAACGACTTACCACAAATTCGCTGAAAAGAAAGAGAATTTAGGCAAGCCTACCATATAATATGCAAACATAATATATGAACTCCCTACTACACTGTACTGTCTAGTAAGCTCAGATAACAATAGTCCATATGACAACACTAAATCTACTGAGTGATGTTTGTAGTCTCAAAGGTTTATGGCATAAACCATTTCATTACAAACATTATAGAGAGGATTTGGATTGACCAATGTACCATTAGAATAATTACATACCACACTAAAGGTGGTGTTGGACAGGATCTGTGTCTGCCAGTAGACGTGTATCTCAACCTCATAGCCATTGCCGCATACAGCTATAGTGGGCAGGTTCTCTGACATTTCCCTTTCTGTGTAGAAGCGGGTGCCAATGGCACGGGAATTTTTACTGAACAGACACACAGACATTTCCTTGGCAAAAGATGATATTTCCATTGAAACTGTGTCTCCTGAAAATAAAGCGACCCATGCATATGTGAATCAAATGTCTAAACTCTTCAGCACAATGGTAAATAACCAATAATCTTTCCAGAAATATACACTGCATATAAGTCAGAGAATCACTGACATGATGGGAGACAGCATGCAACAAAATACACATAGACCAGACTGAACCTGTGTCTTCTCAAACACTGGGAAAGTTTAACAGATCAGCAGACCACATGCTGTTTTAATTCTTGTAGCTCTAGTCATCTAATGCTGCACCCACCTTCACAGAACCTCTCCCCTGGCATGTTGCCTTGACTCTTTTCATTTGCATATAGACGTCCATCCCGCGACACCCAGCCCACAGATGCCGCACACTTCCCGGGGAGTTTCTTCAGGGGGAAACCAGATCCCGCTACACCAAACGACACTATTGAGTCCTCATCTGGAAACAGTCAGCTCATCATCAAGCCAGCAAACAAGTGTCTCCTCTCTCAGAGTCATATTCTGAACCAAACCACAAAATTAATAAAAACCGAACACAGACTTGTCTTTTTAAGTTGACAGTGTTGAGACAGACGCACAACTAGATACATCAAACTAGACTTACTGAATGTCCTAATCTCAGTAATGTTAACAGTGTTGAGACAGATGCACATACATCATACAAGTTTTACTGAGTCTTCTAATGTCCAGATGCCCAACTAGATACATCACACTAGACTTACTGAATCTCCTAATGTCCAGTACGCAGCCCATATTGACAATGTTCAGACACACACAGCTGGATACATCACAATAGACTTACTGAATCTCCTAATGTCCAATATTGACAATGCTCAAACACACACAGCTGGATACATCACAGTAGACTTACTGAGTCTCCTAATCTCCAGAACATAGCTTCTGTTGACAGTGTTGAGGGATTTCTGCAGTTGTATGACATGAATGCCCTTCTCCTCAGCTGGCAGACGGATCTGACTGTACTTCTCCATGTTCAAAACCTGGAGAGCATCCGACTTACGAAACATGGACAAAATGATCTCTGAAAACATATTGAAGCAACCAGACTTAAATTTATGTTCTGAAAGAGAGTTGGTTCTATTATTGACATTTCAGCTGTATTACAGATATATCAATGCACTGCACTTTGAGTGGTAAAAGACTACTGAGGTAAAACTGTATTCAAGCACAGAGCATTTCTAAAGATGAATTATAACTTAAGCTTAAGAGAGATGGGATATTTATCAGTGCCCACTTTCACAAACAGCACTTGGTGCTGAATATAAGTCTATGTTAAGTTCAAGCACAGTGGGCAAATGGGACATCGTTGATGTATTCCTTGGATCAAATGTCAGTGGTCTGTGAAAGACATGTTTGACCCTCGACAACTACATTATGAAATATTTGGAAGTTGGGACCAGAGATGAACAGAGTCATTGTAACCAGATAATGCGCACTAGTTTCAGGTGTCATAACTTACTTACCTGAACTGATTGTAGCAGATGTCAGGGTTCGCCTAGCTTCTTCTAAGAGTCTGAGAAATGCTTCATCTAACTTGTCATTTACTGATGGCATGGGATTGGACTCAACATCCACTGTTACTTTAGATGCTGCAGCACAAAAAATCCACATGGTTAACTAACTTGTACCATGAAGTAACTGGAGATGACTCTAAGTTTTAAAGATACAGTTTGTGTTAGGGAAAGATATAGATACAAGCTTAAAGTTCAATTAGAACACAGCTGCAGCAGAATTACTTCAGGCATTCCACTTATTCAGATGACAACACTAAATAAGGGATGTATTGGGATTCAAACATGAAGTACTGGGGTGAGTGAGTGAGTTTAGTTTCATGCCACTTCAAAGAATATTCCAGCAGTATCACAGTGGGACTGGGATCAAGGATTGGTTCAGTACAGTGACACTGAGTACAACAATCGAATGTGTGATGTGCAGGCAACTAAAGACGTTCATGTAAACATTAGTATTTAATGAGGTATTTGATGGACTGTTAATATCTTAATACACCATCTAAAAACAAACATTGTCACTAAGGTGACATAATCCCCACCGCAAATTATCAAATCAAACTTATAAAGTAATGAAAGTTTATATCTTGCTCTTTATGTGTTCAAACACACACATATTTTCAAGACTGACTTTGACCTTGACATGAATGTCATAGTGTATGAAATATGCAAAAATAGTACAAAAGAAATTGCTTATTGAAAAACATTTAAGGGAAGTCTTGAAAGTCTGAATAAAATCCAGTGAACTGTTCTTGAATTATCTTGCTGACAATTCAGGTTAACATGCTGAAATCTTCAAAGTGTCTCTGTGACCTTGAAAATTAAGTGAAGGTCACCAAAATTGACTAGGCCCTGCACCTTCCCTAGATAAAGCTTTGTATTGAATATGAAGAAAATCCAGTGAACGGTTCTTGAGATAGCTTAACATGCAGGTAAATATGCTGAAAGTCCCCTTGTGACCTTGAAATGAAGGTCAAGGTCACCAAAAAGCCAAATATCAAGACTCCAGTGGCGGTTCCTTTCTTATACTGTGATGAACCTAGGTACCAAACATAAAAAGAATCTAGAGTGAACGGTTCTTGAGATATTCATGCAATTTTGTGACCTTGAAATGAAGGTCAAGGTCGGAACCTGACTTGGACCTTTCTTATACTGTGATGAACCTAGGTACCAAATATGAAAAGAATCTAGAGAACGGTTCTTAAGACTATATCCCCCGCTTCACGATGCGCGGACGGATTGACGCCAAATACTATATCCCCGGGCTAAACGCACCGCGGGGGATAACTAACAAAACATTACTCATTCTAATTCATAAACCGAAATATATCTTTACAAATATAGCATACTCATTTCTTAAGCACATTACCTTCACTATACAAGACAACAACAGGATAGAACCCGCCTGCAGGTTGCAACATCATCTGGTAATGACCAATCCTGGTATCCATGGAAACATAGCACAACACCAGTTGTTCTGCTCTGCAGTCAAATCCTGGCAGATCCCGTGTGAGGGGATTGTAATGAACGCCCCAACCAATGTGCTGTCCCACCATCACCTTACAGTCTGTAGAAATATAGGGGAAAACAATTTTCATCAGGTTCTTTGGCTTACTGAGCTTCTGCATATTTAGAAAAATCATGAAACATCAAACAAAGGACAAAACTATCTCTCAAAATGGCAGTCACTTAAGTAGATCCTTTTTGATATCTATGTAATGTAGCAGTTGACACATTTTCAGAACATTTTATTGACTTTTAAAGCATTTTCCATGCAGATTCAAATTTAAGTCCTTTTCAGGACCAAACTGACAAATCAAGTGCTTTTCAACAAGCCTTATGTGAAATGTGATTCTCAAATGCCTTGGTGAGTGTTGGCATTTCCTTGTGGTCCCACATCGATTCATTTCAGCAAAGAGTGTGACTAAGTTTGAATCCAGAATGAAGACTCTATCAACTGAGCTAACTCTTGATATGAAGATATATAAACTGTCACATGTACTCACTCTTGCCGTTAGCCTGCCACATGAGGAAGTCAGATGAGAGGGAGCAGATAGGGCTGGGTTTCAGGGGGCTACATGTGGCCAGGGTAATCCCCGGACCCCGCCCATCAGGGCTTGTCTCCTGGACAATCACCTCAAAATGCTGCTGACCTAACAACAAATGATATAACTGACAAATTACCATTTGTCACAATGTTCAAATATATTTTATCAATAATAATTAATCTCTCACCAAACATTTGTATTCATGACTGCAATTGTAATAACAACAATTTCAGCCTGAAAGTACTTTTATCATTACATATTTACTAGTCTTTCAAACATTGACATGACAAAAGAAGCAAACACAAATCTGATATTGCTATTTTCCAGAAACTATATCAACTGGTAAACCAAATTAAGTAGTACATTAGATAAGTTCATCAACATGGGCAGACTTTCAAAAATATGTAATTTTTAAGTAAAATTGATATTTTATACTTATCCTGACTCATGCTATTTTGCTTATCTCCTTCTTCTATGCAAATGGGCTGAATGGTAGTGGAACACTTGAATCTCTTGTAGTTCCCAGAAGGGGACGTAAAAGTTCCCTCACCCACGAGTTGCCTCCCTTTTCCCGCGCAAACAGTCATGTGACCTGCCATGCTTGTCACTATCTCCTGAATAAGTCCAAGCTCCTGGTTTGCTGGGAAACCCGAAGTGTCTTCTGCAGGGGAGGTTGGGAGGGCTTGATCTCATGAGTCAGGATAAGTATAAAATATCAAGTTGGATGAGAGCCGTTATACTGAGGCCCTACAAAGCAGCAGGACTAGAACCTCCAAGAACTTCCAATCCACACAAAGTCAGAGCACTGGCGTCCACACTTGTTCTACACGGAAACTGCTCAATATCATCAATAATGGAGGGCTGCTTTTGGAAGTCGGACACAGTGTTTGCCAACCACTACCTCAGAGACATGGCCACTGAAGACACCAGTTTGGGCCACTTGTTGTAGCACAACAACTAACGGTTCCACAAAGGTGCTCAGTTGGAAATCTCACCCTTTATCACGTTGACTTGTTGATAACCCTCACTCTGGAGAGTTTTGGTTGAAAAGTCCATGCGCACCATCTTAGACTAGACTAGCATGAGTGATTAAGACTGTACGGGTAACGATCTTACCTGTACGTTAAGGGTCCGAACTCATTTATGGTAACGATCTTATGATAATCTATGGGTTGTTTATAGATCTCTAGTAAGAAGAAGATACTAGTAGTCTGTAGACGTCTCTGGTGACAAGGGGATGAATAGGAGCTTGAATTTTCTTCTCCTTGTTTTAGTCTTTTGTAGATATATTTTCAGGGCTCTGACAGGGCACAAGGATAAATCCTGGGTGTCCTCTCCCCATCTAAGTCCTTGTTCATCCAAAGTCCAACGCATGTATTTCAGACATCCGAGCTGCCATGGCTAAGGCGAGGTGGAATACCCCACTCAGACACATTATACTGACTCCGAGCCGACCAGTCCTTGTTGTACCCATTAATGCCGAGCGCCAGACAGGGACAAACAAGTACCACATTTTAACGTCGTTTGGTATGACGGGCGGAACGCTCTAACCACTACACCACGGAGGCGGTCTGAGGAGGAACAGAGTTTTCTGTGTGAGTAACTGGAATGTAGTCTGTTCTAGTGGTTCGTAATCATCACTCGTAAGATGTTGGAGAACTATGTTCAGATCCCAGGCTGGTGCTCTGAATTTCCTCTGCTGGTCTTCCAACTTGAAGGAGCGTAGTAGAGCAAGTACTTCTGGCACTTTCGTCAGTTTGATGCCCGTCCTCATTGTGACGACTGTACTGATAGCTGCCAGGTATGTAGATAGTGTCGAACCTTTCAATCGCCTCGTATGTCTAAGGTGACATAGATATTCCGCCACTTGAGGATGAGTTGCTTTCATATCTGTGAAGCCTTTCCGCACTGCATATTGTTCAAAGTTGCGAGTTGATCTGCGTGAGCTAGAGTTACTGCTTTCGCTGCTCTGGCGGAGTACCCTCTGTTCTTCAAGCAAGTCTTGATATGGTCCATACGTGTAGCTGGAACGTTAGTGGGTTTCCGTGAGCTTGCTTGGTGTGCGGATGTACTAATAGGTTCGACCACTCTGGTAGTTTCAGGGTTGGACTTCCAAGTTCTTGTATTAGATCTGGGAACCAGACTCTCGCTGGCCAGTTGGGCGCGACCAAAGGCAGTTGTAGTATTTGGGTCTGCTTGATCTTAGATATTACTTGTGGTAGTAGAACCAGAGGCAGAAATGCGTATCCCTTTAGTCTTCCTATGACATGCTCAGTGCATCTGTTGCCCAGGCTTGAGGATCCAGTACTGGTGAGACGAATGGAGGGAGATCCTATTTCCCTTATGATGAGTCGGAACGCCTCTGGCTGGAGCATCCATTCCGTGGGTGATGGATGAAGTGGGCGAGATAGAGCGTCTGCTAGCACATTCTTGGCTCCCGGAATGTGACATGCTTTTAGCCAGATGTTTGATTCGTCTGTGATGTTGAACAACTGGAATGTGAGCTGAAGCAGGCTTGGTGATATCGTTGATCCCTGCCGATTTATGTAAAACGCCACTGTTGAGTTGTCTGTGTGCACCATCAGTGTGTGGTTGGCCAATGGGCTTGACCAATGTTGAATGGCATTGATTACAGCTTTCATCTCCAGATGGTTGATGTGAAGATGTTGTTCTTGTTTCGACCACTTCCCTGATGCTACTTTGTTGTCAAGATGTGCTCCCCATCCCTGTAGTGAGGCATCTACGTAGACGTGTGTGTCGCAAACTGGCTCTCCGCAGACATTCGATTTGTGAGTCCACCATAACAGGTAGTGCACGGGCTTGTGTAATTTTGTGGGAATTACATGTTAATTTTTTGAACCAATACTAATTGTAATCACTGTTGTGTATGGATTCAGGAAAAACGTGGTTCCATTTTTTTCTGTTTGCTATAAGTGTAATTGTGGGGTGATTGAATATGAGTTCCCAAAATTGCTTGTGACACCATTTTGAGAAAAACATGTTTTCATAAACCTATCACAACATAGTCATGTAGCATATCAAAAGGCAGCTTATGATGTATGACATAGAGTTAACCACATAATAGGCTTCTAATTTCAATTTGGTGACATAAAATATGACATAATCATATAAATTAATCAAATATTGTCTTTCCTTCATTGGACACCAACATTGTAAGTATTGTCCTATATTAATGGAAACGATTTATTCAATTAATGTATTCTCCCATTTCATAACATATATAGCCAACCCAGTTGTGTGAGCAGTTTGATGGTAAAGTCTAGCTGCTGTCTGAGTTGATTGGCTTCTTGATGAACTTGTATCCGTCCATCCAGATAAAAGACACTGCGTAGACCTCGACGATGTAGATAGGTTACGATGGGTTTTGTCACTCGGGTGAATAACCACGGTGCCGATCATTTTTCCAAATGGTAGGACGCTCCATTGGTAGTGACGACCTTCGAACAGGAATCTTATAGTCCGTCAACTGAACATTTGGCACCCTGTTTTTCACAATTTACCTTTTAACCAAAAATGCCTTCAAAATGTTTTTGTGCATAGGCTCTTTATATTTTATGACCTATCCAAGGTTTAAATTTCATAATTTTATGTCAAGTATTAAAGCTTCTTCTTAAGAAGCCATCTTATAAAGATATGAAAAATAGAAGTAGTTATACAAGGGAGTAAAATGATACGATGGAACAGCCATCGTCAGGCTCTGAAATAGTGTCATGGGAGATAACTCTTTGCAATATTCTTTTGCAGATCTTGGTGGCATTAAATGTCTTTTGGAGAAACATTCAATTGAAAAAAAATTGAATTTTTTTTCGCTTTGCCTCGTGCTTGAAAAAGTTGTAAACTCTTTTGATGATTTGCCAGTCATCTTTGTGCAACCTCGTTTTCCCTACAACCTGTGCGTGTTGACGATCTTTGACATCACTTAAGCGTGCTAATGTAAATACCTGTGCATGTACATATTACGCTGACACACATTTTACAGTGTTGTTGGCTTTACCATCAGGTGTGTTAACCCCTCGTAAAACTCTCCACAGTTTTACAATTATTATATGACAGGTTTAAAGGCAAAATCTTTAATAATCGTTTTAAAGTTACTAAAATCGATATCTTGTTAGGTCACGGTATACAATTATCATATGAACAGAGTAGTGTTTTAAAATATTCAGGAGTTTTATATAAATTGTGAAAAACAGGGTGCCAAAAGTTAAGTTGACGGACTATAGGTATTTTCTTGATACCGGATGAATCGGGATGTGTAGATATGCATCCTGTAGGTCTATGCTGGCCAAGTAATCTGCTGGACAGATGAGTTGTCTAAGTTGAGGTAGATGGACCATCTTGAATCTCTCTGGCTTGAGTAGATAGAAGCCAGGCGTCAGATGATGTTGATCTATCATTTCTATGGCGCTCTTGGCCAATAGCAAGTTGATGGCTTCTTCTAACTGTACTTCCTGGTCGTCTGCGTAACTGAAGACTACCGGGTCGAGGGTCAGAGGTGGTGTGGCGTTCAGCTGAACTCTGTAGCCTTCTCGCAGTACTTGTGAGACGTAGTCGTCCTCCAATATTCCCCAATTTTCTCAGTACCTTTGCAGATGTCCACCCACTGTCGATGGTTGTACGGAACAGCTGGGGATGGAAGCATCCAGTCGTTCCAAACCCCATCTTCAATGTCTTGAACCTCTGAAGCCTCTGGGATTACGCCCTCTCCCAGAGTTGCCTCTGCTGTTTCCGGATGAGCGACGAAAAGAGCTTTTCCAGCCTCTAGAGCTGGAGTATTTCTTCTCCTTCGCCTTCTGTATACCGGAGAATTTAGACCTGTTGCTGTACCTCTGATGTTTGACGAATGACGTTGGCCAACGTGTCAATAGACTTGATCATCATGACTTCCCTGGATTCATGTGTAACTTCCCTGGCAACTTCATCAATCTCTCCACCGAAGATAGTAGGCGCTGCCCAAGGAACTGTAAGTAGTGGCTGGGTAAACCTGTCACTCCAGGAACATGTAGATAGTAGACCTTGTCTTCGTAATAGAGTGAGACCCGCCGACGTCGAGGCCAAGTGATCTGACATGAAGTGTTGGTCCTTTTTCTGAGTTAATAGTGCAGATAGAATCATTCTATCTTCCTCCGTTTTGGGGTTCTGGAATCCAGATATCAATGTCTCGTTTATAGCTCTGGATCTCGCCAGGCCGAAGAATGTTCTTCTAGTCGTGGTGTTGGTTGAGCAATTTTCTTGTTTTCCACTTTGTAAGACTTATTACGGGAGTCGTTGATCAACCTCATGTTAGCATCTAAGTCCGGCGCTCTCAGGAAGGGTTCCATATGATGAAGAGGGAATCTCCTAGCATTAAATGTAGGTAGATGTTGATTTTGATGCCGAGTTGCTTTCTCAAATGCTGCACGGAGATTAGTAGACACCTTGTAGATCGGTTCAATTGGTGGAATCGTGAGGGTGTCGAAGTCATCATTACTAGAAAATGCTGCATCCGATTCCTTGGAGGGGGAGTCCAAGTCCAAACTGTTAGCAATCCATGATGTGACCTCTGCTTCTGAAAAAATAAAGTCGCCCTCTTCCTCAGATAGTTCCGGGTCCGCCGAACCTTCCTTCCGTGAGTCTATGTTCCGCGATGTGGGTTTGCTGAACCTTCTATATACTCAGGGACGTTCGCCAAACCTCTTGTAGACTCAGGGACGTTCGCTGAATCTCTCATAAACTCATGGACGTTTGCCGAACCTCTTGAAGATTCATGAAAGTCAGCTAGGTCAAAGTTCTGTGTTGTAGGCCGAAACTGATGTTGTGTGGATGAAGCGTTTGAGAACGCTAAGGCGTCAAATGCGTCTACAGGCAACTGCGATGATGCTACACTGTTGTTGTCTACATTGCCCAACGTCTGCGTTGCTGCCGGCTGGTCAGCAAAAAAGTTGATCGGATGCCGAGGCTGCAGGGGATGATCGTCTCGCCTTGGAGGTAGACTGTGACGAAGATCTTACCAATACTTCAGGCAATAGTATCGGGGGTTCAGCATACACGTCTGCTTCATCACAATGTCTTCATTAAACGACCTCTGATGCGTTGACTTGCTGGAACGAGTTGACTTTGACGAAGTTATAGACGAAGAAGATTTCTTCTGCGACGAATACGATGAGGGCATCTTCCTCTTACACCCAGCTGGCGTCAACTCTTCTTGGACCCGGCTAAGTCCCGACTAGTCACAGATGACTGCCCCTGTAATGTACTTGGCAAATCACCGGAGTTATGAATTACATCAGTAGTTAACAACATATGGTTACCGGCGTTATCTACGGATTTACCACCAGTGACTTGAAATGATTTCCTCACCCGTTCCATGGCACGTTTAGAAACATAAGACAAATAACGATTAAATTGCCAATCTGGTAAAATAATACAATATCTGCAACGCAAGCTAGAAGAATATGGATTAATGCATGTCGGACATTGGATCAGCCGCTGATAACCGGTACCTGCAAATACTGCAAGATTTCATCAAATGTAAACAAACTACATTATGATGAGAAAAAGTGACAAAATATGAATAATTTTTTCAAAATTTTGGCACACAATTAAAGCTAAATATAACCAGAAACCATACACAGCTAAATTGGATAAAAGGATCTAAATATCAAAGGATATAGTGCTGTATACGGGACCCCAGTGCTCGCTCAACCATCCGCTTGGGCAATGAAGGAGAGAGTGACAAGCATGGCAGGTCACATGACTGTTTCCGCGGGAAAAGGGAGGCAACTCGTGGGTGAGTGAACTTTTACATCCTCTTTATGGAACTACAGGGATTCGAGTGTTCCACTACCATTCGCACAGAGAAGGAGTAAAGCATAATAAGCATTAGTCAGGATAAGGCAAAATAATGAAATGCGTGAAAAACATGTACATTGTTGAATGGACTTTATTATATGCGATGAATTGTCAAAACTCACTGGTGAGTAGCTGATACTAGGTTGTCAGCAAGTGTGTCTTCTTAACAGAGTGAATTGATAAATGACTCAAGCAAAACAACACTTTATGATGGAACTACTTTCAGTGTGCTTCCATTATGCAATGGTGTTTAGAGTAAGATCCTGAAGATCAGCAGGATAATGCATTTGTCTTATCCTGTCACTCAGTAACCATGTGCTCATTTCATTAAGTCACATGTAGTGGTGGTCCGATTAATTGAAATAATCAAAGATTGGTCGCAGTGGCCAAACGACCAAGCAATCGATCACATTTTCTCATAATCGAACACAAACGATTTTGGAACCGCTGTAATAGAGTTTGAAATACTTGATGATGGAACATATCTAGGACGTTGTCAGGGCCTGAAAACGTGTTTATTTCTAAGAAAACTCACTTCACTTCCTGAAAAGTCATGACTGAATATTTCTTGAAGAATCTGGGAAGTTAATGTTACACTGGAACTGAATCATTTTACACTGGATGTGAAATCTGCAAATGTAATTTGTGCAGTTTCTAAAAAACAACAACAGAGAACCAAATGTTTGTTTCTTTATACTTATCTGCAACTACAACCTGAATAGAAAAATCTAAAAAATGACGCTAACCAATTTTTTTCGATGATTGGTCGTTGGTAATGAACCAATCATCAATTGTGAGATTTCAACCAATTCCCAACACTAGTCACATGATGAGATTAACACACCATTTTGACAACAAAGAACATGTATCTTCCATGTCTGTCTGACACCAAACAGTTTCTGGTCACCTCCAACCTACCTGTTCTCAGTGGCCGTGGACTCTGTATGATGTTTGTTTCTCCAGCATCCTTGGCAACAACAAACATGTTGTTTACAATGTTGTACTGAACAACACTTGGTCGGATCCAGTGCCGCATGTTGGTCTGAAAACAATGTCAACATTTTGTGCCCATGAGACAAGTACTTCACACTTAATATGGAAATAATGTAAAGTGTATATCAAATACAGTAATGTTTATGTGAATAGTTTTTGACATAGTATGTATCTTCGGACCTCTGAAATGCTTAATATGTAGAAAATAGTAATGCAACAAAATGTCTTTACATTGACTGACAGTAACAAAACATGTTAGTATTGGTACATTAGTACATTACAAAACAAATGCACTTCTTACAGTTAAAGTTTACAACATGGAGCACTGATAGGATCCGAACTGCTCACCTCAGTGAACTCTGGAACACTGAGAAGGGTCTCTGGCCACATGAGACCAAGGTCAATTGGTCCGTTCTCCAGTGCAATGGTTGGCAAGAAGTGGCTGTGTTCAGTCTCAAACAAATACCTGTTGAATGTATAAGTAGTTGAAAAAGCACCTCAAATAAGGTATAACATTGACCACATTACATTACACATTATACTGTAGCGTGACATACAGTATCTCATATCATATACTACAGCTTAAAAGATACAGGGTACACAGTCGGTACACAGCTTAGAAACTAATCTGCACTGAGATACACAATGTTTCAAGAAACATTTTTCAACATTTTTCACAAAATAACATGTTAGCTGTTCTTAGTCTGAAATGGTAATGTTTTAAATTTGATAATTGCTTTTGTGACCTGTCATTTTCTTCTTGACTGTGAAACTTAACATTGCTCACCGTGTAGCAACTGGTTGGCCATTCTTGAGAAACATTACTGTCGACATAGTTGAGCCAAAGTATGTCACCAATACTCCGAACTCATCACCTGAAGACACAAAACGTACACCATATAAACTGTAAAACATGTTATTACTTTTCTGACAGTGTATCATGCACAGGGAATCAGAGTACACCCCATATTTCTATAGGTATCCATAACTCTTTATGCTCTGAAACAGTGTAGAACAATGTAGAACATGCACCTGAACACATCCTTTGATCATCTCACTCTCAGCAAGCACATCATCTATGATCACCCACAGATAGGTAATAAATCTTCAAGGGGAAGGATGGGCAGGCAGCAGGGATTTACATGGAGTCCTGTATTTCAGGGTCCCTGGGACTCATCCTCTTAATTTTCAGGGATCCTGGACAACAAAATGGGGTCCAGACACGTAAATATTATTATTAATACTGTTATTGTATTGTGCATCATGATCATCACATTGTTACAGTCAAATAATTCCATAACCCAGCTAGTAGCAAACCAAGTGGAGAGTAATATAAGGACAAACTTTATGGATAAACAACTTCTTTATTCTGATGATGCGACGTTTCTGATGATGCCGAAGTCATCCACATCAAACGACACTGACCCCTCATCAATAGAGATCAAGGTTACTTCATCCCCTCCGCGTACGATGATCTCATCAACCAATCCTAACTGGTTGTTTTACTTGTACAAACAGTCCATAACCCCACTGGCTTCTACATGTATCCCTTATGATCATATTGTTACTGTACATCCCTATTCACGTCCTTGTTGGTTTAGTTAATTATTTACTGTATATATATATATTACCCTGTTTTCCATCTTACACATACCTACAAGAATCTGTATCGAAACATTGCATCATCAGAATAAAGAAGTTGTTTATCCATAAAGTTTGTCCTTATATCAGTGATAACTTATTGTTATTTGATTGGAAAAGTATTTGGACTATTTCTGATTCCCCGTGGACGCACATTAAATTTCGTTGTGTCCATTGTCAATTTTTATGCTTATAGGACACAGGAATTTGCGTCCTGTAAATCCCTGAGGCAGTGATGATGACAACTTCTTAGAGAACATGCACGTGAAGTGAAGTGAACAGTGAGCATGCTAGCTATAGGAGCAAGGTGGTCAGATCTGTGTTTAAGTGAATGTTCTACATCGTTGCACGACTGAACCAAGACGGAATACTGCATACTAATTAGTTGAAAAATAGGTTTTAACAAATACCTAATCAGACTATGACCTCCACATTGCCTGAAAAAACTATGGAAAGACGCTTTTGATTTCTCAAAAATATATGATAAATGAAATGGAGATTATGGCAGACATTCAAATTAAACAAGACATGATCTGTTTATCTGAATGCTTATCTATACCAACCATACATGGACATATACAGTAGTGAGTTTGGTTTTACGTCGCTTTTAGCAATATTCCAGCAATATCACGGCGGGGGACACCAAAAATGGGCTTCACACATTATACCCATGTGGGGAATCGAACCCAGGGCTTCAGCATGACGAGCAAACGCTTTAACCACTAGGCTACCCCACCGCCCTGGACATATACAGTAAAAGTAAAGGTCTTTTAATAAACGTTTTTTGTTGAATTACAGAAACAATTTGTTCCTCACCAATGCCAAACTTTTCCCCCTCTGTGTTAGCTGTGCCATTATGGGATGTATAGCACTTTCCTGTGTCACTATGGTAACCCACAGAATTGTTCCAGTTTCCTGGGTGAGCATTATCCTCAATGTCTGGACCAGCAATGCCCAGGGTGATCTTGCTGTTCTGAGCTTAAATACAAGTCCAGGAAGATTACAAACATTCAACTGATGTCATACCTTCTATCACAAAACTTATTATTTAAAAATTCTACAAATTTATTAATATCTATCACAAACACATGGCTGAAATGAAATGAGATTACAATTGTAAGAAGTGTTAAGTTCCAGCTCAAGTCTCATTTATTTCAGTAGTCTGTTGATAGGAGCCGTTATAGTGGTTATCTGATTTTTATAAGACTTGAATTTGCAGAAAGAAGAATTTGTTAATAAATTTGAATTTACGGAGACCCAATTGTACCCAAGTAAAGACCAATTATACACTCGCCAAAATATCTTGAGGCTACTGCCAGAATGATTCTGCACATCACTTTCACTCAACTATTATGTTATGACATGGTCTGATATTTCTTTACTTCCTAGAATTTCACATGAAACTTGCTTCAAACTAGTAGCTAATGTCACAGATAAAACAATTCAGTTATTTCTCTCTTTTTTAAAAATGTTTTCATTGTTTCTGTCTTTGTACATCCTGGCATACCAATTCCTCTGATTTGTGCGAAGAAACATGGCTGCTGTGGTGTGAGGGGTTTCAGGTACTGCAGGAAGTTGCATGTCTCCGAGTACTGTTTCAGCTGCACGCTACTGATGCTGCCCGGCCTGGGTGCAGTGCGGTCAAACACAATATCACCCGCACAGCGGAACAATGACGTCATTGAGGACACTTCTCCTGGAAAACACATGATGAGGTACTATTTTTCACAAAGTAGAAATACTAGACAAAAGTTGAAATTGTCTTGATCTTTATGTAAAACAAAACAACATATCATCTAGGACATCATCGTTAATGTGTCAGTTACCACATGATTATAGTATAAAATGCTTTTCCATTTCAATAAAATTACAAAGAACAAAAACAAGACATTATCCTCATCCTCATCCTCATTATCATGATAGTAATAATCTTCATTTTACTGATAATTTATACTTGACCAAGCACAACATATATTTCCTTTGGCTATGTACATATTTGTTTGTCCTTTTCAATTTCAGTTTGACTGAACATACGGGTATCGTCACCACAAATTGATTGTCTCTATAGACTACTATAATGCTGGCACTTGACGGTCTCTTCCTCTGATTCGCAATATAAGGGACTTTCAGGCAGCTATTATGGAGTAATAATTTATACAAAAATTCATTATCATTTATTACCACAAGTGATAATTAGGCAATTAGGATTCAGATATTAGGAAAATATAAATATAGAATATTAGTGTCACCATGATCAGTAATAGCTTTTAGAAAAACACCAGTCTACAGTAATAAAAGTCATTTGGTTTAAACATATTCATGTTAAAAAACCTGGGTTGGTAAACAAGCATTGTTATGCTTATATAAATACCGCCCCAGCAACATAACAATTCTAGTAATGGTTACAAGTAAACAAAAATAATTAACAACTCATGTATTCATAGATAAATAAGCATGTGTTCATTAATAAATGAAGCAAAGGTGTAATTAACAACATGATGATAAGTGCTGCAATGATGGTAAACATACAGACATATAAGAGTTCCAGCTTTTTTAGATTTTGAAGTCTCAATCATACGAAACTTGCCTTTACAAATCGATTGCTTTCAGTTATGAAGTGATGTACAGATTTTAATATATCCATTTCAACATTTCTGCTTTAAAACTTGTTACCAATTTTATAAGATAGTTTCTAGATCATATCCATGGATGTGAAACATGGCATTTTTTTCTGATTTCACTATATTTAGTACAAGTAAAGAAATAATGATATGAATTCTCAATTAGGGGCCCACAAGAGCAGACCGGGTTTTCTGATATATATCTTTGAAATTTGTCCCAGTTAAGATCACTACATCCTAGTCTCAGTTGACTGTGAGTTATTTGACAGTTTCTACTACCATAATATACGTCAAAGTAAACATTACATTTATTTTGTTCTTTGATAAGGGTTTTGAAATCAGATAGAGGCATACAATTTCTAAATTTGAGAGGCAGTGAATTCCAGAGTTTGACTGTATCTGGAATGAATGATTTGGCAGATCTTGTTGTTCGGCAGTAAATGCTTCTCAAATTAGTGCCATCAAGTAAGGGATAACAACTATTTGCCCCGACTAATTGGGGTAACAGATTGCACAGATAGTCCGATAATAAATAATGATACATTTTATAAAATGTTAGCAATTTATAGTATATTCGCCTTTCACTCAAGGAAGTGAAGGAAGTTTCGCGATAAATATTTTCATGGCTTGTTCCACGGACAGCACCACATATTGTTCTAAGGGCATCTAAATGTAGTTTTTCTAAAGTCAGAGCTTGCTGATCTGTACAGGTGTCCCAAATACGAGAGCAGTAATCGAAAGAAGGAAGAATAATATAGGATTTGTACATGGTCTCTAGTGTTTTTCTAGACAAGCGATATTTGAAACTTTTAAGACAATTTATCATGGGACTAAAATTGAACAGTCAGTTTGCAGTGTTATTCCAAGGTGTTTATGACTTTCAACGTCTTGGATAGCAATCCCATTCATAAATAAGTTCGGCTTAGGGTTGAGAACATTTCTGCGCGTGAACTGCATAGTTTCTGTTTTTTGAAGGATTAAAAGTATCTTGCCACGTATTTGCCCAATTAGATATTTTTTCTAGATCGTCATTTCAGCAGTTAGCTAATTCTAATGGATCGTCTACGATAACATAAATGGACGTATCATCAGCAAAAAGTCTGATGCTACTGTTAATCCCATCCACTATGTCATTTATGTATATAATATAAAGTAGTGGTCCTAAAACTGAGTCCATTAATAACAACTTCTTGTACTCTATTTTCTAAATAACTTTCAAACCATTTTAATAAATCTCCTTTAATTCCATTAGCCTGAACCTTTTAAATAATTCCCTTATTCCAGACTTTGTCAAACGCCTTACTAATGTCGCAAAAAAACTGCTCTTATCTCCTTACCTTCATCCAGGCCTTTAACAATAAAGTTATACAAGTATGTTAGTTGATTGGCACACGAGTCCCCCGGCATGAATCCCGACTGAAGATTGCATAGTAAATTGTTGTCCCTAAGGTATTAAAAAACGTGCTTGAAAACACAGTTTTCAAAGATTTTAGATAAACAACTCATTAAGGCCACGGGTCTGTAGTTAGAACATTCATTTGTGCTTCCTTTCTTATGGAGAGGAATTACATTCACTTCCTTCCACACGGACGGAAATATCATTTGCTGTAGGGAAAGATTAAAGAACTTAGTATTGGTGTTAAGGTATTAGCCGTTATTTTCAGAATTTTGTTACTGATTCCATCTGGACCAATAGCTTTAGAAATATCAACCGATTTAAGGATGCTTTCAACTTCCCCCTGGTTTAGGAGTATATCTGATAGCGAGTCCCTTTGGACTCGTAGTTCAATGTCGGGTGGACTAATATTAGGATTCGGAATGTTTGATTGTTCGGTAAAATATTTGTTAAAAGCCTCAGTTATTTCTGTCATATCATCAATAATTTGGATTTTGTATGACACTGATGGGAAGGTAGAGATGTTAAATGTTTTGGTCCTCATATAGTTTTTGACAAGGCTCCGCCTTGATTTATTTCATAAAGTAAACATTTCATCAACTATATTAGAACAACATTAGGCAGATACTTCAATTTAAACACATTAAGATTTAGACCCAGCATCTATTTTAATACTGAGGTACCATAATTATCCAAGCATCCAAATGTGTCTCCAAGCATCCAAATGTGTCAACAAAATCAGTGCCAGTTCAATTAGGATTAGCAGGATTAAGTACTCCCCTCTGTCTGGTCATTTCATATCGATAGTTTTCATACATAGTTAGAAAATGAAAGTGTTAGGCAGTAAGGTTTAAACTCCTTCACACATGTAAGCTCTAGCCCTCAGCCTAGAGGGTTGTACTGACTTTCTGCCACCACCCTATGTTACTCTGTTCCCATAAATAAAATTGTAATTAGGTTCTCGTGACTTCAGACTCTTTGCTGAACTAATTCCACACAATGACCAGCATATCTATAGACCCCAACCATAATAATGAAAAAGTCCTTATCAAATACTACTCCATTTTAGGGGTGACTATTGAGACAAACTAACTATTGTGATAGCGATAGTCTGTAGCAACCTGCTATTGCGATAACAATACACTACTGCAACCACTTATTGCAATTACTATTGTAAGAGTTACCTTTCAAGTTTTTCCAATTTCAGAAATCAAAATGTATTCTGAATTCTTTGAAATAAAAACAGATATTTTGTTTTGTTGGAGGTTTCACTTTTTCTACTTATATGTGACGGACAAGTTTTCAAAACAATAGAACACCCCACCCCACCCCCACCCCCCCCCCGTAACTCTTAGCTTGACTCATCAAATCTAAGTATTTCCTCAATCATTGTTGTGCTGCACATTTGTTTATGAAAACAATCTCTGAAATATGGATAGTCTCACATACTATTGATCTATGGACAGTAGTTTATGTTTACAATCAATTAATTGCTATTGGGGATTTTGCTATTGCAAGACATCAATAGTTTGATCTACACTCCTACTGCACCGTATGGGACCTCCGAATATGTACTGGCATAATCGAATTTGTTTCATAAGGAATATAAAGGCACACAATCTCTCTCTCTCTCTCTCTCTCTCTCTCTCTCTCTCTCTCTCTCTCTCTCTCTCTCTCTCTCTCTCTCTCTCTCTCTCTCTCTCTCTCTCTCTCTCTCTCTCTCTCTCTCTCTCTCTCTCTCTCTCTCATATTAATACACAATTGAAATTAATGCACATGTTCTCCTAAAATAACAAACCTTCACAGTTCCCATTATTAGTAGCGAAAATTATGGTTCCAAACATTACAGATGGGTAATCATATAAACCCAGTGATAATGTCATATCCCTCAATTAACTCTTATCACATCTAGACACCTACCTATACACAGTGGAGATCATAAACAAGGTTTCAGTTCATAGAAGCTATACCGAATCGACCATCCTTAACACTGGGTCCACTAGAATTCACAATCAGATCTTTTGATGATACATGCTGTCGCAACAAATTGTACCCTATTTCTTCGCATGTAGCCTTGTAATGTTGGTAAACATAAATGAACATGAGACTTACCTCCCTTGCTTCAGCCCCATTATCAGTAAATAATAAAATAGCCTTACTTTTTTAGCATTTCTTACAATACGCTACTCACAATTCTCAGAACGCTGTCAATCTGTTGTCATCGATAAATCTTGTCTCGGGGGTAAAATGTACGTTTGGCGAGCAAAAGAACGTTGAATGTATTCGTCATCGGAAGGTGTTTCGTTGCTACAACAAGTGCACGCGAGAACTGTTCAAAGGGAAGTAATTCTTGGTTTTAAATAGCGGTTTTAGTAAAGATCATGTAAAATCATCAGATGCGGTCAAAGTCGCTGTATAGTTGTCCATTTTATTTGACAGTTTACATTTGTAATCTACATTCCAGCAGCATGAGCGTGTGTGTTCGTGCGTAGGTGCGTTCGTGCGTGTGTGCGTTCATGCGTGTGTGCGTGCGTGTGCACCTGATGTTTATATACCTCTCTTTGACACTGAGTACAGCTTAAATTTACCACGTACTTTGGTTATTTTTTAACATAAGTCTAAAGGAAATTGTGATGTAATTGCATTTGAACATGTTTCAGTACTAGACATGTTATTATAAGACACTGGCTATGTCGTGAGCTTTTTTAAATGGTACATTTTCTACACATTTTTCTAAATTGAAAATCCGATGCCCAGGAGGAACATTGTGCGAACAAAACATTCCCACGTCCAGAAGATATCTCTTCTAGGCGATTTTATAAATGCGACATGTGTTTATGAATCACTATCCAATAATGACACCAGGTGTTCGCGAAAAGGTGAACGTATGCTGCCCCAACCTAAATTGTTACCCGTCATAAACAAATGCAGAGGTTACCGAGTCACCTGCTCAGTCATGTGCTCAACAGAACAAATTGTGCTTCAAAGCTTGTAAAATGTCAACACTAAAGGCTGGAGCTGCTGGAATAATGCTGGACATGAAAGCAAAGTTGACCATTAGAAAGTCGACGTCATCCCTCTTGTCAAACAGCCCTCTAGGCATTTTTTATGCATAGACAGAGATTATTACACGAGCAAATGTGTCACACGACTTATACGAAACGAGTGTGAAATTTTGTATTAATACATAACTTTGCACGAGTTTCGTATAAGTCATATGACACATGCTAGAGTGTAATAATTTCTTTATTATCCATTTCGTTCCTGTACATTTGTGCAGCTAAACACAGTAAGCAAATGACGTCACTACATTGACGTGACGTTCAATTGTTTAATGACGTCACAGACGACGAAATACAGAAACAATGGTTGTTGGGCAAAAGTGATATGTGCACATGTGTAATATGTTATATATGACACTGGTTATGTTTTACCATGTTGGTAACAAAATCAAAACATGAAACACACGAAGCGGTCTTGATTTCAAGTAGGACTTACTACTCTTCACAGGCGAGTTCAGGTAGTCTGTTATACAGACCCTGAAACAAATATACTTGAAGCAGCCCATGCAAGTCTGGAATGTGTAGCAAGCCTTGATTTCCACAGTTTCAGCTTCTGAAAATCAAGAAAGTCTGGGCACCTTTTTAATATATTTTATGTATATAATTTAGGAACTTTCTTTCTGACAAATATGTTCATTTCATAGACCAGATGTTAGTCAAGTCCCCAGGTTTCACCCTGACAACACTGATGGTCGTCAGGACTTTCAGAAAGAACGTTGTAAACACTGGTATTCTGCATTTGGTGGTGGGAGCCTAATGAAGTTTACGTCGTTATTTTTCTTCAAACCCATGGATGTGACTACACTTTTCACGAGGACAATGCACGTCGTCCTCACGTGTCGTCAGAAAGAACGTTGTAAACACTGGTATTCTGCATTTGGTGGTGGGAGCCTAATGAAGTTTACGTCGTTATTTTTCTTCAAACCCATGGATGTGACTACACTTTTCACGAGGACAATGCACGTCGTCCTCACGTGTCGTCAGAAATTTCACCGGACGTTTTGTCTCTGAATATATTTGATTTTGATAGCAACAGATAATGCCAATTGTATTGGATCTCCAATAAGATGGGAGCCGAGGAAATCTACATTTGCTTCAGTTAGGGTTATAACATTGTGGAAAGAGCTTGGCGAAAGAAAATAATATGGGACCCTGGACATGCTATCCCTCCCGAAGCATTCTGCAGTCATCCGACCGAAAGTCCAGGTGGTTTGTAAACTTTTGAGATTAAATCAGATGGGTATGAATAATCTGGTATCAGGAGAACGTGGAAGGATACCTGCATTTGCATGTGGTGCATATGTAACCTGCATAACATTTTGGTGTAAAATATTATACCTCTAGAGAGTTAGCCCAAATAGTGTTAATTAGTGTTGAAATCTATGGAAGAAAATGCTGAAGATACTTGTGCTTTAAACGTTATGAATATGATATATTTGTATATAATTAGGTATGATTTGTTATCACAAGAGACAGACAACGAGAACGTGATTGGGTTGGGGATATGGGCGACTGTATTGCAACGTCATGCATTTCAAATGTTGTCTACACTTGACTCCTCTTACGATTCAATGTTAATTTCAAACGAAACCCCATAAATTCATAGATTGAAATGGAAAATTGGAAATGTTGAAATGCAGCAGGCCCTAAGGAGCCAGAACCATAAAATGTTGTGGGTCCTGATCAGAATGTGTAGGTCCTATATTTTAATAAGGACAAAATACTATTAATTATTGGGGATGAAAAAATGTCAGCCATAAGGACCTGCAGACCACAAAAGTCCGAGTGGTTGTCAGGCTTCAAATCTAAGGACCGACGTTAATTTCGAACGCTGTACATGTGGTCATTTTGTAAACTCTCCCCGACTTGTTAAATTATAATAAACTTTTAAATCCTGCAAGATTATGGTCTGACAAAAAATGTTCATCATATCAGCAGCTTAATGATGAAACCCATGTCATGCCGACAATATCTTATTCTCATCTATTTTTGTAAGCTTTTGCTCAGTTTCTACATTCAAAATTCGGGCTAGTGATTCATTTTGTGGGCTAGGAATTTCAGGCATAGCTAGCCCGACTTGGCAACAAAATTTGAAACTATTTTGCATACTGATTGCATATTTGTATAATAATTTGTAAATTTTTTAAATATATTTGAAATCTTAACAAATTTAGGTTTCTTTTTACAGGTGGCATACAGATAAAAGAACCCAGTTTTCGCAGTCTAAGTAAACTTAGGCTCAGTATTATTCGTAACACTGCTATACTGAGTCAGTATAGTAGTGTAACGAATAATACTAAGGGACCGTTCATAATTTATGGCTAGGGGTGGGGTTGGGTTTTTTTTGTTGATGATTTTAAGGGGGGTCACCCATTTTGTTCTAGGGAGCTAGAGGGGTTCAGCAATTTTGTACACACATACTGGGGGGGTGTTCAGCAATTTTGTACATAAACTTATATTTAAAATTATGCTTAGAAATTATGGGAAGGGGAGGGGCTGTCATTGATTTTGCACATGAAATGCAAGGGGGGCACTTATTAGCTCATACATTTTAGGGGGTCATTCACATTGTACATGCTTCTCCATAAAAAATCATCACCACCCCACCCTAGCCATAAATTATGAACGGTCCCCAAGCCTAAGTTTTCTTACACTGCAGTTTTCGATTTAATCGGAAACTTATGGCAGTTCATTCACACCCGTCTTTACAGAGTCTCAGTGGTCATATAATAATTTTTTCTGCCCAAAGGGACTTCTCTCTCTTCCCCCAATCCCCAGAAAAATGGTTTCTAGATTTTTCGAAGCTCTCTTAGCGCTAAGATAGTCGTAAGTTAATGTTAATGTATGGCACTTACGACTATCGTAGGGCTAAGAGAGCTTCGAAAATCTAGGCCCTTGTGCTTTTTGTCCCTGGGTCACTGGCGCCCTAGTGAAAAAAAATAAATCGCGTCATCGCGTCACGTGTCTTCTGTGTGAGTGCGTGCGATTAGAAGGCAAGGCAACAATTATATCAAACAGTTGATATTCACGTATGGTTGGGTGCGTTGAAAGTACTTTCTTCGTAATTAAAATAGGCTTTTCTGAGCCTGAACGCTCAACAATGATCAGTTTAGACCATTTGGAAAAACCCGTTTCTTGGAACTAAAAACGAAACCGAAATTAAGCTTTTCCTAGAAGGATTGTTGTGAACCTTACGTCATATGAGGTGACTCGGGCTACACCCTATTATGTACTTTACGTGTGTGGTGTTACTCTCAGGTGGATCTGCACATTGGTTTGCAAAGCGATAATATGGGTGCATCAGCTCGTAAACCAACATACATATTTGACTTTGAGGTAAGCGCAATATACATGACGAGGAATGGCAAACTAAATCTTCAGCCCTCAAATGTTAATGGCGGATTGTAGCCGTATCAGCAATTTAGCTGCGATTCGGTCCGGGTTACACTTGATAATTCACCTTTCAAACTTTATTCATAAATAATGGAAAGTTTGGAAGCTCATAATTGCTTCAAGCTTCTTCCTTCCCTGTATGGTCTTCGGTTAAATGCATTGACAACTGAGCTGAACATAAGATTTACAGCAATGTGCAGTTTCATATTTGTGGTGAACGACAGACGAACAGTCGCGCCGTATGTTTTAGTTATTATCTTAATATTGTCACAACAGTTACCTTAACGTATTAGCCGCCAATGTCGCATTTGTCAGCTTAAGACATGTATCTGCAACTTGCATGGTTTTGCTAAGTCCTGGAGTGAGGGGTCCAATCACTGTTCCTAACTACCTAGCGCGCATGCACAGGCGCACAGGTACCACTCTTAACACAAGGTTGATACTCAACCAGACTTTTCAAAACCTCAATTATTCTATCTTTCAATAGAAAATAGCACCACAAAAGTACAAGACAGGACTGACACTTCACAGAGTAGGTTACTAAATAGCCCAGGACCCACCCACATGGACAAAGCATCTTGGCACTAAGATGATCGTACTCCAACATGGGCATAAAACATGGATGACAAGAACAAGCCCTGAAACGTTGTACTCGAGAATAAAAAGAAGATGTAACCGAGAAAAAATCTCTATGTTCCAGAAGGGAGTAGTAGTAGTTATTCTCAGTTTTCCTGATGAAGTAAAAGTCATCACTGTTTTGAGTACATTAACTGAACTTCATTGATGCAAAACTAATAGCACACATAACTGACATATACTGAAATACATAATTGTACATACACATTGGCACACATATATGAATTTGCAACATGACAGGTTTTCGTAAGCATAATCTGATGAACTATGAGAATTCAAGGGGATTCCCCTGGTTTTCAAAGGATTCCTTTCCTTGTCCTTACACCATTGTTTGGGTGGGTGACGTTAATTGGCAGCTGGTGATTATGTGAGGTAATTAAAATAGGTGGACGACTAAAATTTGGAGTTTTGCTTCCCTTTAAAAGTCAATCCCATGACTGAACCTACCACAAAAGTAGCTGCAATTTTAAATGAGGTTATTGTTATAATTTTCCTAAGTTTTGGGGATATGTTTTAGGGATACATTTTGACCGTACAATAATATTTTAGGCTCCCAACTTGTCCAGTCCTTGACGAGCAAGAAATTAGCTCTCTGCTCATCATGTGTAGATTACACCTACATGTCTACATATTTTCACTAGTTTACATGTATATTACTCATTTCAGAATAACTGTAAACTGTTTATGTGGGCTGGAACGAACGAACGAAATTTAAAGTTTAACGTCGGCTTTTAGCATGGCCAATGTCGCCGACGGGGTAGGTGGGGTTGATATATAATTAATTAATAATGTAATAATAGGGATAAACCACCATACCCAAAAAAATGTAAATTATGGGGGATTAAGCTTAACTAGTTTTAGGATAAAATAGTTAAAAATATAATATAAATAAAATAAAAAGCCGAAATTATAGAGAGAGAGAAAAATAAAGCAGTTGTTAATAATAAGAGGAGTTGGAATGAGTATGTGATAGATAAAATTGGGGTGGGGGGTGAGGGGTGGGGGTGGGGTGGGGTGAGTATGAAGTAAGTGTATAGCATGTTGGGGGTTAAAATTGTATTGGTACAGTTAAGCTGTACTATTTAATAATAGGGGACCTAATAAAGAAAGAAAAACGGGTTTGTAACGGGGTTGGGGGGGTGAAGGAGACGATAAGGCAAAGGCCGTGGCAGTGGTTATAAGGCTGTGGGTGAGCTGGCTTGGTAGGGAGGCCGTGACCTTTGTACACAAGGGCTGGTGCTCGGTTTATTTACATTTTAGAGGTTGCTGATTGGCTGAGAGAGGGCGCGGACGTTTTAGCGAAAATAAAACAACTATGGGTAATTGAAATTTGTTTCCCAGGTCTAAATGAGTAGGCTAATGTTGGTGATAAAGTAATAGTATGGATAAATGAGGTTTGGAAGCCTGGTCTAAATATATAAGCTATTGAGAGGTAGTGTGGTGGGGATTGTTTGGGAAGTTCTAAATTTTATTGATTAGGTTGGAGTTTTGTAGGAAGGTGGCTATGGCATGGAAGATAGTTGACGGGTTGAGGGGATTAAAAAGTAGATGTATATTATTGTGATATTTAGCTGGTATACTGCTGTGTATTTGTGTGATGTTTGTTTGTTGCAGGTGGCAGTGTGTAAATATGTGTTCAATTGTTTCTGGTTGTTTGCATTGTGTACATAGTCCATCTGGGTGTCTGTTTTGTTTGAATAATGCGTGGTTTAAGTTTGTTATGCCAGTGATTAGTCTAGTGATGAGTGTGTCCATGTGTTTGTTGTTTGAGTAGGTGAGGGTTTTGGTGATAGGTTTGGTTATGATGGCTTTGACCCAGGTGGATTTGTTAGTGTTGAGGTTGTGTTGGTAGTTTTGGTTTATTATGTGAGATTTAATGAGTTGTTTTATTTTAGTTTTGGATGTGTGGAATTGTATGACTGGAGAGTTTTGTGTGGTGGCTAGTTTGGCTGCTATGTCTGCTGTATTATTTCCTTGGTTGTGGGTGTGAGCTGGTATCCACATTAATGTTATGTTTTTATTTAATTGTTGCAGTGAGTGAATCTGTATAATTATGTTGTGTATTAGGTCGTTACGTGATTTTGAGTGATCATGTTGGAGTTGTTTGACGGCGCTGAGGGAATCTGTGAGTATTAAGATGTTGGTGTGGGACATAGTGGGGATGAGGTGTAATGCAGTTAGGATTGCTGTTAATTCTGCTGTGTTAATGTTTGTGTGGTTTTGTATAGTGGAGGTTTGTTGTTAAGGGGGTGTTTGTTGTACATGGATGCCTATGCCTATGTTTATTTGTACCGACTGAAAGCGTCTGTATATATTTGGGTGTGGTTGGGGTAATTTAGGTTGATGTGGGTTTGGATGAGGTTTGTTTTGGTTTGGGTGTCAGTGGTTTTAGGGAGATTTTGGAGTGTTTCTACTAGGGTGGTATCTGTAGAGGGTGGGGGTTTGTCATGAATGTAGGTTGTTATGGGAGGTGTGTGTTGGATGGTGTTTAGGTGTTGTGAGTGAAGCAGACTGTTGAGGTGAGTGAGTAGAGGGGCTTTGTTTGGGTTGTTTTTAAATTTTTTAATGGTGGATTTGTTAGTGTTGGTGTATTTAGTTGTGATAAGTTTGTATATTGGGTTGTGTTGGGCCCCAGCCCAGTATTTGAGTGCAGTTTGATTTATTCGTGTTTTGATTGAAGGGATGCCTGTGAGTAGGAGAAGAGTGTTGTGGGAGGTGCCAGTCCTAGTGCCTAGGGCTTGTTTAAGGGCTTTGTACTGTATAGAATTGAGTTTTTGAAGGTTGGATGGGGAGATGGAGTGGAGGACCGGAGCAGCATGGTCCAGTCTAGACTGTGTAAGAGTTTTGTATATATTAATAAGTGTTTGTTTGTCGGCTCCCCAGTTTGTACCACTGATAGCTCGCATGAGATTTAGATCTTTTTGACATGAGTTGACCAGATTATTAATGTTGGGTGTCCATGTCATGTGTTGGTCAAAAGTTACACCTAAGAATTTTGCCTCTTTTTCGAACTTGATTTCTTGGTTATTAAGATGGAGTTTGGGTGTATAATTTTGCATTCTTTGCTTTTTGAATAAGATGCCCACGTTTTTTTTAACGTTAATGTGGAACCCCCATTTATGGGCCCAGTTTTGGATGTGATTTAGCATTCTTTGAGTTTTGATTGTGGCTTGGTTTCCTGAGGTGGATGATGTCCAAAAGGAAATGTCATCAGCAAATTTTGCAGTAGAAATTTCTGGCCACTTGTCCGGAAATATGTCGTTAATCATAAAGTTGAAAAGTGTTGGGAAATTATGCTCCCCTGGGGGGTTCCATTTTCTAGTGGAAAAGGATCCGAGACAGTGTTGTGGGATTTAACTATTATTTGTGTATTTTTGAGGAATGCCTGTATGAAATTTAAAATACGCCCGTGTATGGCATTTTCTTGTAGTTTTTGGATTAGGCCGTTGTGCCAGATCATGTCGAAAGCTTTGCTAAAGTCAATAAAAATGGCCAGCGTGTATTGTTTTTGTGCTTGGGCTACCTTAATATCGTGTTCCAAATGTAAAATGTGATCTAAAGTTTGCCTATTTGGAGTGAAGCCACTCTGGTCCTGCTTAATTAAGTTGTGGGTTTGGATTTGATGTTTTAGCCTATTATTTACTATAGACTCTAGTCTTTTACATAAGTGTGAAGTGAGGGAAATAGGTCGAAATGAATCTGGGGAGTTAATGGGTTTCCCTGGCTTTAGGATTGGCACCACCTTAGCTGTTTTCCATGAAGATGGTATGTTTCCTGTGGTCCAGATATGGTTAAATAGTGTAAGTGTTAAGTTTAGCATGTTTGGTGGAAGTTTGTTAAGTATGGTGTATGTAATGTTATCTGGACCAGGGGATGAGGCTGTTTTTTTATGTTTTAAAGCTGCCTTAAGTTCGTGAATGTTTATGTTTTTGTTTATAGGTAGATGTGAGTGGGGTGGTTCAGGTGAGTAGGGTGGTTGGTTTTTAATGATGTTTTGGAAGTTTGCTGTGTAGTTGGTGGAGCTACTAGTGTTCGAAAAGTGGGCAGCAACTGTATTAGCTTTTTCTTTATTTGTGGGGAGGTTCGGAAGGTTTGGTTGAATTATAGATTTGGAATTTCCCTGAATAGCTTTAAAATTTTTCCACATTTTTCTAGAGTTGTGTTGGTTTAGCCTCAGGGTCGAGCAAAATTTTCTCCAGTGTTCCTTTTTTGCTGCCTTGATTAGTTGTTTTGTGTTGTTTCTGAGTTTTTTAGCCAAATGTAATTTTGAACGGTCCCTCTTTGATTTATTGAGGGCCTTTTTTCGTGCCTTTCTGGCATTGATAATGTCTTGGCTCCACCATGGGACTGTTTTCTGTGCTTGAGTGGTCCGAAAAGTGGGTATGCATGTATTTGTTATATCAATGATGGTGTTGGTAAGCTGTGAGTTAAAGGTTTCTGTGTCAGTGTTTATAATGTTGGATGGGTCAACTTGATTGCATAGTTTAGTGAATTTATTCCAGTCTGCTTTGTGTACATTGTATTTGATTTCTGTGCTGGGGGTGGGGGTAGTATGGGGATTTGTTTGTGGTTCTGGTGTAAGTAGTGTAGATATGGTAATTTTTATGGGGCAGTGGTCACTGCCCCAGGTGTCTGCATGTACCTCCCATAGGCAAGATTTTGTATATGTAAGGGTGGTGATTGTTAGGTCTATTGCTGTGGGTGATTGAACGTGGGAGAGAGGGTATCTGGTAGGTTGGTTATCATTTAGTGTGATGAGGTTGTGGTCGTCTAGCCAGTTAGATAGAAGAAAGCCGTTATTGTCAGTATAGGGTTTTGTGCCCCATAATGGATGGTGAGAGTTTAGGTCTCCGAGGATAAAGGTGTTGGGCGTTAAGAATTTTGCTATATTGTCTAAATCTTGGGGTATAAGTTTAATAGAGGGTCTTCTGTAGATATTTATGAATGTTAATAATTTATTATTTATTGTTGTTTTTATAGCCAGGACTTCTAGATTAGTGGTTGGAATGTCAATTTCTGAATAGTTAAGTTTGTTTGAAATAAATATCCCCAGGCCCCCAGCTGGGGGGACCTGGGAGGTTTATTGGCCGGGGTCTATCTTTCCTGATATAATTGTAGCCTGGGATTTTGAAGGCGAATTTTGGTGATAATTTTGTCTCTTGTAAGAAAATTATTTGGGGCGAGATTTTGTTTTGGGCGATGAGTGCCTTAAGCTCATGCCCGTTTGCTCGGAGGCCATTGCAGTTCCATTGCATCAGAGCCATGACTGCGGTAATTTGGAATAGAATATTATAAAAAGCCATGGATGGGGCAGAAATTTAGAATGGGCGGTTTAGGTGCTAGGGTAGCTTTAGTGGTGGGTTGTTTATGATAGGGATTTTACTGCGATGATGAAACTGGCTAGGCTTTTGTGGTATATTTTGTTTTTGCGTGCAATATTGTGTAGTTTTTTAGCTGTTGGATTTTGCATAAGTATTGCTGCAGTGATGAATTCTATGATGAGGTTTAGGTTGTGGTTTATTTTTTGTGGGGTGAGTGTGAGGTTTGTTTGAGGGGCAGATGTAGTGGATTTTTTAGGTTGCAGTGACCGGGGTTTTGGTGATGCAGTGAAAGAGGGTTGGGGGGGATGGAGGATGTAGGAGGAGTGGTTGGTTGGGGGTTTGGTGGGTGGGGGTGCAGTTTTGGGCCGGGGTTGTTTGGGTGGGTTGGATGGGGTGGGGTTGGGGAGCCGGAAGTAATGGTTTTTAATGGGTTGGGAGTTTGGGGTGGGTATTTGGGCTTGGGTTGGGGCTTGGGTTTGGTTGGTTTGGGGTGGGGTGGGTTGGGGTGTTGGGGTGGTTTGGTTGGGGGGGAGGGAGGGTGGTTGGGAGTGAGGTAGGGATGGAGGTTGGCGGGATTTATGGGATTTGGTGGGGCGGTGGGGGATGGTAGGATGGGGTGGAGGTGTTGGAGGAAGAGGAGATGTTTGAGGGGGTAGAGGATGATAGTGATAGTAGTGAGTAATTTGTTCTGTGGTTGTAGGTTGCAGGTTTGGGTAGGTCAGTGTGTTTGAGGTGCTTGTTTAGTTTTAGTATTTGTGTTTGTTTTATGGGGCATGTGTTTTGGTTTGCAGAGTGTCCATGTATTTCACAGCGTATGCAATATGTGGCGAGTGTACATTCTGTTATGTCGTGCATGTCTGACCCGCACCTTGGGCATAGTGAGTAATTTTTGCAGTTTTCTGTAGTGTGATTGTACTGGAAGCAGTTTTTGCATTGTGTGGGGTTTTTGCGTATGGGATGGACTTTGTAATTGAGTGCTCCGAATGTGATGTAGTTTGGTAGTGTGGTGGACTGGAATGTGAGGAAGGTGATTTGAGTGTTTGGCTTGCTTGCAGATGGTTGCTTTGTGTTGATTGTTTTGTAGTCGATGATTTTGGGTTGGGTGCTGATGTTGTTTGCTATGTGGATGTACTCTTGTATGTCTGCTGGTGTTTCCCTGTTGTCGATATGTATAACTCCTTGTGATTGCGTCTGCCACCTTGGGTATTCCCATTTTATTGTGTTTCCATCGATGAGTGTGTGTTTGAGTGTGCTTTTTAGTGACTGTTCGTCTGGAAATGTGACCTTGAACCCTCTGCCACAGAAGTTTATGTACTTGTAAGTGATATTTTGTTTTTTCAGGCAGAGGGCAAATTTGTTGGTCAAGTATGTTTGGTTGAGTGGTGTGTTGGTGTTTGTGGCGAATGCGAGTAGTAGGTGTTTGGTGGGTAGTGGTTGGGGTGGTGTATCTTTGTCACATGATTTTTTGTTTGCTTGTTGTGAGGCTTCAGGTGAGATATGTGGGCGTTTTTTGTTTTGCTGAGTATTGGGATTTTTTGTGGGGGGTGGTGGTGGTGGTGGGGATTGGGTGGTTTCAATGGGTTGGGATGGGAGAAAGTGTTCTAGGTCTATGCCGAAGTTAATTGGTATTGGATTGATGTTGTTTGGGGAGGTGAGTTGGGGGAAATCTTTGTTTGGGGTGGAGAAGAGTGATGTTGATGGTAGTGGGGATGACATGTTGGGGGTGGGGTTGGGGGAAGGGTTTGAGAGTTGAGGGGGCAGTGGGTGTGGGTGGGGTTGTGTTACATACAATATATACAAGAAGAACAATAGAAACATATAAGGTTGAGGAAACAAACATAGAATATTTACAAAACAATTGATGGTATTTATGGTATTTACAGATTGGATTTAAATGGTGATATTTACAAGAGAGCAAGTTGTACTTGCAGTTTGTTTGGTGGGCAGGAGCCCGGAGTGCCGGTGGCTAGGCGCCCTGCCGAGACTTTAGAATAGATTGTCTTTGCTTGAGGGTGAAAAATGGCGACGCCAGGGTCAGATGATTTGTGATTTCCTTTTGATGCTGCGGCTTGCTTAGCGACCAGCTCCAAGGACGCTCACGAATCGAATGTGGGCTGGAACATAGTTAACTCATATTTGTACATTTAACATCAAAACGAAATTGCTAGGGAGATAGAACAATGGTCACTGTAATGAATTATGTGAGATCTCATGAGAGTAACCAGCACACCACTGCCCCATATTGAATATAACATAACAATGCAATTTAGTCACAGCACTGTTTTACAGTGAATAACACTGACACATAACAAGTATTACAAAACCAGCTTAGCAAGCTCATCAGATATTTGGAGATTAGTGTTTTGCTGCAGCTTAGCATAACTCAAATACTATACATTTCTGGTCTCAGTCCAAAAGAAAAGCTGTAAGCAGGAACATCTCCATGTATGAACGTACACAATGCTATGGTATCAGTAAGACTCTTGGAAGTTTACAGAAGTGATAGGACTATATAAAAGCACCAACCCGTTAACATCAAGTAGATGAAAGCAATAACCTTTGGAATTCTCAGTTTCAATGCCTGGGGTTCTAACATGGTAAATGCTAGTCTTTAGGATTCACTGACAGATAGTTGAATATTTTGGAGAATTGTATATATAAATATAACTACTGTTAGCTCAGAGGTAAACAAATCTTGTAGACTCAAATTTTATTGCATATTTTTGTGTGGTTGATGACAAGATAGCAAGTTTCAAGTAGCAAAAGAGAGAGAATATTTGATAATATGTTTAGCTCAATGAAATTTAATGAACACAATTTTGAACATATATGAAAGTCCTAATAGATTTTTTGTAAATATTTGAGGTTAATAGATTGGTAATGAATGATATGGTATTGTGAGAATGTTGAAAGAAACCTTTTTATAGTGTATATAGTTAAATGTAGAACATTGTGGTGTAAACTTTTATGAATGCCTCTGGAGAGGTACCATCGACATTGTTGTTTAATGTTAAAATCTATGGAAGAAAATGGTGAAGATACTGGTGCATTAAAGAATAAGAATTTGCTACATTTATTTGGATTTGGTTATGCTTTGTTGTCAAAAGAGATAGACAATGACAACATGTTTTACCAGAGTTGTAAAATGAACTAAAAACGTATTCATGCAAAAATTCAGAATGAGAACTAGTGACAGATATGGATAGATTTAAAGTCATTCCATCCCATTCCAATGGTTGGTTGGTTGATTGTTTAATGTCACTCTCAGCAATATTCCAGTTATATGGCCGTGTTCTGTAAATAATCAATTCTGGACTGCACAATCCAGTGATCATGAGCACTGATCTATTTTTTTTACAATTTTTTTTACAGATGAACTAAAATGAAGTGTTCTGGAACGAATAAAGATGGTTCTCGATGCAGATATGAATCAGACGAACAACTTCTCTTTTGTCCAATATGTGGTTCGGGTTGCTCTGAAGACCAATCAACAACGAAGAAATCCATCAAGTGTCCTGGCAAGAGTGGGGTTTGTGGCACAGATCTTGCTGCAGATTCAGATGTAAATTTTTGCTTTAAATGTGGTTGGAAGATTGACAAGTCACTCTTTGTGACACCAAGGACATGCCCAGGTGAACTAAAGGGTGTCCCATGTGGAGCAGAGTTAAAGGAAGGAAGTAACTTTTGTAGCAAATGTGGTTTTGACCTTTTTCCTGAAGATGCAATAACAGGTTGGTCAGCTTGTTTATGACCTGTAGAAATGTTTCTTGCTCTCTCACTGGTATGATCTAGGAGCATGTATGTGATGACATTTGCCCATGCATGGCCATTAAAAACCATTTGCTTACATATTTCGTATGTTTGATGCTTTTTGCTAGCTTACATTCAAGTGTGCTTATGCTGCTCATTGCCTGTCAGTCCATCCATTTGATTTCAGAGCTTGCATTTTTTACTAATCTTCTAAAACTTTAAGGCTTAAGTAGCCTCCAAATTGCCTGTATGAAACAGTCATTTTGAGCCATTATTCATCTATTTCTGGATCTGTCACTGTGGCATTTGAAATACAGTAAGTTTGTGGTTTTCAGAATAATATATAATACTTTCACATACCACGGTTTTCCTTGTTCCCCTAAACTTTGGGCTTCTCTGCTGAAACTGCAAGAACCATTTTGCTGAAACATATGATGAATGATAATGAATAGTGATAATTAGTGAATATACACAGGCCCAATGCCATGCATACTTTTCTTCCTTACACTGGCCTCCTGAGTGTAAACACAGACCATGAGGAATGAGGTGACATATAGTTAGCCATGCCATCTGATGTAACAGAATTTTACAGAATGATATAGGTTATTGTAACAACTGGTCACAAACTCACGGTAAGGAGCTCTGTCAAGAGCAAAAAGATGTTAGATCATATTCCACACAGAATCAGAAAAATCATGCACAACACAAACTCTCCCACAACTGATGCAAGCTTTGCTGTGCAGTCTGCTTCAGTGACACGAGAGGAACATCAGAACCATCAATTGCCTGTATTAGAAGCATCTGCTGAATCCATAATCAGTACCTGGTGTAGCCACCACTTGCCTGGATCAATTCCTACAGATTTGGAACATCCGATCTCTAGCTCGAACTTGGGGTCCAATAGTTCCAGTGTGGTTTTCTATTGGTTTGTCATTATTATTCTGTGTGCCATATTAACTTGAAGACCCTCCTATTTTAACAGCAATATTCTGACTTTTTTCCATTTTCCATCCATTCCACATGAAATATGCATGAGTTATTTAAGTGTGGGTCAATGCAGAGTCATCAGCAAACAGTAATAGTATAATATTATTATTTCTTCCAATATATAAATGCCTTCATCAAATGAAGAAATGATATTTACTACTAATTCATCATAATCAAAGGAAAACAAGGATAATGGCACACCCATGCCTGGCACCATAGACACTATCAATATATTCAGTTAAATGTTTTCCATGATCAACTGAAACAGTGGCTTTGATAATACATGTCGTTTTGAACTGCCCATGGATTCTAGTTTGTAGCTGTGCGTGTAATAATTCATACAAAAGTCTAGGAATGTGTTATATACTGTTCCTTTCTTTGATTGTGTGGTCTCTTGTTGATGTTGGTGTGGCATTCATTTCTTTGTTGCCAGACCACGCCTGTCAAGGAAGTCCAAAGTGAATCAATACTCATCCGAAAACATGAGTGAGTGAGTTTAATTTCACGTCCCTCAGCAATATTGCAGCTATATGACGGCGGTCTGTACATAATCGACTCTGGACCAGACAATCCAGTGATCAACTGCATGAGCACCAATCAATGCAACTGGGATATGATGACATGTGTCAACCAAGTCAGCGAGCGTGACCACACGATCCCATTAGTCACCTTTTTTGAGAAGCATGAGTTACTGAAGATCAAGAGTCTTTGTGCAACTATAGGCCAGTATCCAACCTGCCATTTATGTCCAAGGTACTTGAAGACTCAAATTGTGGCCCATCTGAAGCAATTTCACTTGATGTATGTATCGGCCAGCACACAGTATTGAGACTGCCTTGATCTCTGAAATGAACAATATCATGTGTGATGTGGATAAAGCTGACTTCGCCATGTTAGTGCTCCTAGACCTTTTCACTGCTTTTGATATGATGGACCATACCATACTGACTTATCATCATAAACTGGAATATGGATTAGATGGCACTGTTCTTCAGTGGTGTGAGTTTTACCAGTGCAATAGATTTCGAGCTGTGGAAATTGGAAATTCAGTTTCGCAGAAAACAACTTTGTCTTGTGGTGTCCCTCAAGGGTCTGTTTTAGGGCCTCTTGTCTCCACAATGTATACAAAGCCTTTGAGAAGATTGATATATGATCATCAAATTGGAAACGATTCTCAATTGATGAAAGCTTTTTCTGTGGAAGACAGTATGTTGTGATATAAATGTCATGTGTTATCGGTTTAACTCCAATCCATTTCCCTGACTCACAAGAGTTTTTAAAATGAGATTATTATGTATTGAGTAATCAAGCTCTGGATTGACTACCATGTCTTATGACTGATGTAGTTTCATGTTAATGTCTATCCAAAGGGGAGGTGGGGTAGCCTAGTGGTTAAAGCGTTCGCTCGTCATGCCGAAGGCCCGGGTTCGATTCCCCACATGGGTACAACTTGTGAAGCCCATTTCTGGTGTCCCCCGCCGTGATATTGCTGGAATATTGCTAAAAACGGCGTAAAACCATACTCAGTCAATCAGTCAGTCTATTCAAAACTTTCAAACTGTTAACAGTACATACTGCTGACAGTACACAACCCACAGACCTGTTAACCAACAGATTATCACTGTGAATAAGTGCAACAGGATTTTCCATGATAAGAATGATGCTCAGAGATGCTCCACCCATGACGTCCATCTTCCCCCATTCATGCAGGGCACAATTGAAGCAATCTGTTGTATACCTCATGGCAAAGCAAACCACCCAATTTTGCCTCCATGTTACGAAATTCCCAATCGTAATAATAACTAATAACTTCTCTTCCAAAGATATATTTTGAAAAATACCCTATCTCATTTTAAAAACTCTTGTGAGTCAGGGAAATGGATTGGAGTTAAATCCCATGAGGGAGCCATAGTCTCATTCTTTGCTAATTAACATGGAGATTCTTTTTCATTGAAAAATTTGGTTCTTTGTGGATTCTATATACACATTCTGATAGTTGGTTCTTAACTATGTACGGTCCATCCCAGGATCTGCGCAATTTGCTACAGAGTCCTTTTTTTATAATAGGTTGAGGGCAGTGGGGTAGCCTAGTGTTTAAAGCATTCGCTTGTCACGCCAAGATCCCCAGGTTCTTTTCCCCACATGGGTATAATGTGTGAAGCCCATTTCTGGTCTCCTCTGCTGTGATATTGCTGGAATATTGCTAAAAGCAGCATAAAACTATGCTCACTCACTCTAATAGATTGATGTCACCAACTATGTCACCAACATAGTAAGGTATACAATATATATACTTATACTGCCTTATTAAGATTTTCTTGTATTTGTGAAATGCCTCTTGCAACTTGGCCCTGGTCTTATTGACATCAAACTGCTCATTTAGAGTAATTTCTAGCATGATTGGTACGTTAATTTCATGTGCCATCATAGAATAGAATAGAATAGAATAGAATAATACTTTAATGCCTTTTCAGGAATTTGTGTTACATCAGCAGAGCTACTGACACATTAGAGAGATACCAAACATATTTACATAAATTCTTGATTTAGATATCTTCACATTTGTTTAAGAGAGATATGGTACTTGGAATAAAGGATGTACGGGCTCTCTTAGTTTTCACAATTGGAACTTTGTATCGGCGGCCTGAAGGGAGAAGGTTGTATTCCGAATTTAAGTAGTGAGTAAGGGTCAGATATGATTTTGACAGCTTGATTCACGATTTGCAGCTCATATATTGATGATAAACATTCAAATCTGACTCCAGCGATTTTACTTGCAGTGTTAACAATTTTGTCTATTTTAGATTTGAGATGAACTGAGAGAGACCCATTACCAACAATGGAAGGAAAATGTTAAAATACTCTGAATAAATGCTACATAAAAGATGACATCACAGATGGGTTAACATTAAAAGATCTCAATTTACGATGAGATGAAGACGTTGTTGACACTTTTGTATAGGGCTTCAGTGTTAGAGTTCCAGTTCAGCTTAGAGTCAATGAAGGTTCCCAGATACTTATACTCCGACACTGTCTCAACACATTCACCGTTGATTATCACTGGAAGCAGTTCTGTGGGTTTACTCCGAAAAGTCAATTATCAGTTCCTTTGTTTTTGTGACATTTAAGAGTAAGTGGTTTTCTGCACACCAAGTCGTAAAATGATTAATGTCCTCTTTATACAGTTCTTCAGAATCAGTGTCGCTCAGTTTGCCGACAATTGCTGCATCATCTGCGAACTTTACAGTTGAACAGGTTGAATTCGAGCTTGCACAATCATTAGTGTAGAGGGTGAAAAGAACAGGAGATATTACACAGCCTTGTGGTGCACCAGTGTTGGTGGTCCGCTTACTTTCGATACAGCCCGCTAACTTTCACGTGCACTGCTGTCTGTCCACAAGAAAGTTTTCGATCCACTTGATGAGGTATGAGTTAACGCCCATGTCTAACAGTTTCTGTATCATGATATGTGGCTGGATAGTGTTGAAAGCAGATGAAAAGTCAACGAAGAGGATCCTGATGTATGACTTAGGTGTCTCTAGATGTTTATAGACATTATTCAGGAGTGACAGTGTGGCATCAACAACTCCTCTCCTTGGCCTGTAGGCGAAACTGAAGCGGTTCCAGTATGTCGGCAACTTCCTGACAGAGATGTCTCAACAAGATGCGTTCCAGCGACTTCATTGCTATAGATGTGAGAGCAACTGGCCTGTAGTCGTTGAGTTCTTTAGGTTGTGTCTTTTTAGGAACTGGTACAATTTCTGATGTTTTCCAGACCGAAGGAATAACGTGTGTATTCACTGAGAATTGAAACAATCTAGTGAAAACTGTACACAGTTGAAGTCTGCACACCTTCAACACAATGCCGTCAAGGCTGTCAGGTCCTTTTGCTTTTCTGATGTTAATTCTGGAGAAGCTTTGAATGACGTCCGCTTCTGATATATGGATACGACTTTCACTATCCTGTACGGCTTCACTAACTTGGGCTCTCTCATCGGTAAAGTCGTGACAATCAAAGCGGCTGTAGAAAGTGTTGAGGTCCTCAGCAAAGGTTTTATTATCCCCGGCGTTGGTTGTCTGTCGTCGCCTGCTCTTGCCAATCCCCTTTATTAGCATTAAAGGGGAAAATTTTGCTTTGTGAAACATTTTCTTGATGCTTCTGCCTGAGTATACCTTCTTGTTACCCTTGTGTTTGCCTGTTATACACCCACAGGAATAGGGTATCACCTTAGTCAGGAGCCAGTAGAATTTGACACAATATCACTACCAATATGGAACCCTCTATGAAAAGTGAGTGAGTTTAGTTTTACGCCACACTCAGTAATATTCCAGCTATATGGCGGCGGTCTGTAAATAACCTGATGTAAACCAAAAATCCAAGGGTCAACAGCATGAACATTGATCTACACAAATGGGATAAGATGACATGTGTCAACCCAGTCAGCAAGCCTGACCACCCGATCCCATTAGTCAGCTCTTACAACAAGCATGGGTTACTGAAGATCAATTCTAAACCGGATCCTCATAAGAGTTACATGCTTGGTTTGATACTGAGGATGATAGTCCACATATACTTATTTAGTTATAGAAATTGAATCTAATTCCTTTTCCCTATGCTTGGAGTGTAAAATGTTGAAAATGTAAGAGACAAAAGCTAGCAGTTAATCTTCTTTCAGTTGAAACCTTTGCAAATGTTCTGGTTGAGGTTTCAGGGTATAACTCCCTCAAAAGCAGTAAGGGAATAGTGCCAAAAAAGGTCAGTTCCTTGCTGATATGACTGAGGAAGACATTTCAGATGAAATTTCATCCAAGTCCAATGCTTACATGTTTATTGTTGGTCTTCTAAACCTTCCAGAATCAATTAGAGCATCCATAACCCACTATGATGCTGCAAGTCTCAACATTATGGCCATGGAACAAGAACATGTGATATATAAGTAGGCTGCTTGTCATTGACGTGGTGGCAGTTGTGGAGACAGTGCATGTTTATGGTGTTCCTTCAACTGTTGTGCTTCCTCTGATAAGAATGTCACCTTGTACACTAGACAACTTGATATTTTTTAAAGCAACTTTTTCAAGTGTAAATATGGCAGACAGCTGATATTGTTTGGTTGAGGGTATCCATTCCTGATTTTTATTTATTTTGCATTTCATCATGCTCATTTGGAGACAAACAGACTCAAGGAATAAAATTTGCTTCTGTTATGTCTTTGTAAAGCCTTAAAAACAAAAACTAACAATTTAATTGCTCAGGTCTTAGGGGTAACTTTTAAAGAAAACTTCTGCCAAAAGGATTCAATTATTCGGGAGTTTCTGGAAATTGAAACCACTGACACAGAATGATTACATGCCTGCAATTTTTTTAACTGACATTGTAGACATGTTTAATATGTAAATTCTTTTTATATATCCATTTCTAATGGTATGCATTTTGATGACAGTTCGTGTTTACATGTTCAAGTATTTGTGTTCTTTCAGACCAAGCATCTAAAACAACTGCACCAGGTCTAGATCCAAATGACAGTGCCAAAACTATGAATAATTTGGCAGATCATGCAGGGAAAAAGTGTAAGAAAAAAAAGAAGAGGGTTAAAGATGAAGCTGAGAAAGAATCTCCAGATAGTAACAGTACTGGTGACAGTGATGATGACCATGTCAGTGAAGATCCTGATCCTAGTAAATCTGAAGATACTACTAGAAACATCCAGGTGGTTAATCAGACAGAAAACAGTGAACCTGTCGTTACAAGAATGGAAACTGATCCAGTCTCTCCAGGAGCTGGACCATCTACTCTGGATGATCAATTAAAAGTATCACTACCCCAGCAAGAGAGAGGACATCACAAAGATGTTTTGCAAAATGAAACAACTCAACCAATGACTGAAAGGGACCTTCTCCAACCCAAGGTAGATGAACGTTCCAGTCAACAGGAAATGGGCAATGACAGTATTCCTACAGGAACAACAAACAGTCCTTCTGATGGCACAGAATCACATGATGCCCCTTGTAGTGGGGTCACCACTCGTCAGATGGCAAGAGCTCAGGAAAATAGCAACTCTGGAGTACCCAAAATGTCCTACTCAGAGGCTGCAAAGCAAAATCCAGTTTGTATATTTAATATTTTGAAAGCTCATGTTTAGCTCAAGTCAAATGAGTGGCCTGTTTGTCTGACATATGGTGTGTTGTGTCTATCATCTGTTGTCTGTTGTTTTTAACTCAGAAACAACTGCACTTATGAAACTGATGCATCACATGTTTTTTTTCTGACATATGATTATGCCAGGATTAGTTCAAGTGAGTGAGTGAGTTTAGTTTTACGCTGCTTTTAGCAATATTCCATCAATATCACGGCTGGGAACACTAGAAATGGGCTTCACACATTGTACCCATGTGGGGATTCAAACCCAGCAAATGCTTTAGCCACAAGGCTAGCCCACCACACCAAATTAGTTCAAGAGTGTCTGATGTACATCTTTAGTTTGAGCTTGATTTGCCTATTGACTGCTTTGATAATGTCCAAAGTCTATCAAAATGCATTTCAGACAGACAGACAGACAGACAGTTTATTCAGTAAAATGGCCATAGATCTATCATGCAGACAATGTTTGGTCGCATGGATCATGCATGCCAGTGAAGTAATTGATTAAGTTTCTCTTAGCTTTTGGGGGCGGTGGGGTAGAGGAGTGATTAAAGATTATCAATGTGTTAACACTAAGAGATTTTCCATGTAGCTTTTTATTTGACTGTGTTATAAGGACTCTTGAGTTGTTTGGTTTGTGTAAATTCAATACAAGATTCAGCTATCTTGTATGGGAGTTACAGTTTCTTGTGTATTTCTAAATAAAACATTAGCCCATGCTATTAACCGTAATGGGAAAAATCATAAGTGGTCTTTGTTATTCTCTTTCAGAAAGTGAATGAAGTTGATACAGGAAATAGAAGGCAAGTATGTTCAGCCAATAAAAGATTCCCTAAAGTATTCATGATATAGTTAAGTTCTGTACCTCAAGGAAATAATACTTTAGAAGTTTATTGGTTGTTGTTTGCAGTTTATGCTGTGAAAAATGGCATTTGGTAGGTCCAGACGTTAAAGTATTTATATCCATTCTGATGTATGAGAAAACTCAGTTGTGGTTTCAGTTTGTTTATAGATATAGTACTGTCGCAATAACAGTATAATATTTTACATGTAAGTATATGTAGCAAAGTTTAACCTTATGTTGATAAGTAGAGATAAAGAATATTTTGAATCTTGAAATTAAAGTCATATGGTTGGCAGTTTTCTTGACTGGATCAAATCTATCTTACAGGTCTTGTCAAGGAGAACCAATAGTGGATGTTATATTCCATGTTCTTGTTTCTGAAGAAATGAACTTGAACCATTCAACTGACAAAGTAACTGTTCAGTTTGGATCACAGCTTCTCAAAGGATGGCAAAGTGATCACTGGGAAATGAAATTTGTGAGGTAAGGTAAAATTATACTGAAGCATAGTTAGTATTTTATAATGATCTGACAGTATGTTTGAAAGAGTACAAAGTCTGTTAGCCCTTATCTTTGGTATTTTTACATAACCAACAAATGAAAATATAGTAATATGATAATCCTAAGAGTGTATATCCATCATTTAACTGGACAGTGATGTATCCTACTGGTTAAAGCATTCGCTCATCACGCCGAAGACCCGGGTTCGATTCTCCACATGGGTACAATGTATGAAGCCCATTTCTGTTGTCTCCTGCTGTGATATTGCTGGAATATTGCTAAAAGCAGCATAAAACTGAACTCCCTCACTCACTTATCATTTATCTAAAGCATTCATCTATAAGGTAAAAGTATGGTAAAAAAACATCTTCGTCATACCTCTGTGACATGAGCATGGAAATCACATGACTTGAAGTGGAAATGTTTTGGCTAAGAGACATGGCAGATGTACTTCAAAATAGAAGTGATTCCTTTGATGTTCTAGAAAATCTAGTAATAGATCAAATGGGTAATGCTATAACAACAGCATTGCTAGTACAGAATACACATTGATGGTAATGCATTTGAATGTGATTGCGAGGACAAATAATTTTCTAAACCCCACAATGACATTGTTGCTTATTGTTGAGGTATGTGAGGAAATCTAAGATGCCCAAGGTAGACTACATGATCAATGGAGTAATTCTGGTGTTACCTTAGAAGAAATCAGCGATGCAATTCCCCTCTACTTCAGAGTACAATCTACACATCTAACACACATTTATATGCAAATGTAGGCACAAATGCAGGAAAAAAATAGCATTTTACTAAACTTAAAATTCTAAAATGGAGATATTTCAGTATTTTCTTATTTCTGTGGAACTATAGGGAATACTAACCTCACATCTCTGATGACAGCTATTTGAGTTGCTTTCACCAATCACACCTTCTTTGGTAACTATGCATTCATTAGTGCTTACTTATCATGTAAAAAACTCACTTAACCCCATGACAATGTTAACACCATGTCACATTTTAGTTATCATCATGAGATACAAATCAACAGTGTAATTATCATTTGTCCAAAGCTTCATTGATTTACACATGGAAAATAGTATTGCATTTTTTCTGAGGTTTATAAGAACAGGTACAGCATCTTGTGTCGTCTTGTGGCAAACATAGTGAACAACTCCCAACAGCAAATTCCAATGAAGTGTTCCTCTTGGGGGGAGTTGAATATAAGTGAAAAGAACTTGCACTAGCTCTCTTTAAAGCAACCATGCCATTTTTTATGTTCATTTTCAGTCTTGCCTTTAGGTATAAGACCTGACTTCTTGGAACTTTTAAGAAAGGAAGCAAGTTCTGTAGATAACAACTGAGACATTGTGCAATGATCAAATATCAAAGAAGGAAAACAGTACAAACACTACACAATGATTCAGACACAGTACCAGGATGTGTTTAAAAATCCAGAGTAAATTGTGTGTGAACCCCAATAGAAAAGAGATTACATGCTGGATAATTCAGGAATGTTTTACAGCACATAACTGTGTAATACATGTTGTATGAGACAACATATATTTACATGGAAATTTTAAGTGCCACGTGTGTTTAAGCGATTGTGGTATTATAGCTCATAAATCGGTGTCCTCCCATAAGAACTACTTCCCATAAAAAACTACAGTCTAAAAGTCTAAAACAACACTGGTCAGGGTCAGTTGCACCAGGCTTATACCTATGTCAGGACAGCTGGACTGATCTAATAAGTTGGAAAACTCAGTAAACTCCCATAAGAATTGCAGGGTGATAAAAACTACAGGGTGAACTATAAGTGAAAACAAAACAAGCTTTTAGTAGTATATACAATGATAGTCCGAGATCAAGTCCAACAAAAGCCTCTGTAAAGCTTTATTTCATAAATAAAGCTTTTGTCAGGTCCTTAGATCTCGCCGCCATTGTATATACTACTTTTGAATCCCCAGTTAACTTCCTGGCCACACGTGACACAATAGTATCACTATGACCGCGATCCTGATCACGTGACACTATGTCGTGTTGACCTCGAGGAAACAGTTTAATGTGAATCGCCTATGATCTCTTTGGTGTTCGTAATAAAGGCTTGCTGGGCTTTTCGTACCCCTTGTTCTATGTACTTTATTTTCTCGTCTTCGCTGATAGGAGACTTATGAGACTTGGACCAGATTTCTTGTTTCATCTTACGGTACTTGTCAAGTTCAGAGAGGATTGAACGAAATTCCTCCTCTGAGATCTTACTGTCAGTGAGTGCCGTGGAAATACCCTCACTTACAGTGTTCAGCTTTGCTTCTGCAAGAACCCTGATCTCGTCGTGTTTCAACGCTTTACGGTGCAGTCTGTGGGATGCGAACTTAAACACCAACCCTGCCACCCCTACAACCCCAGCTGTTATTTCAATGCCTAGCACTATAGGTGCGGCCACGATGGTGGCTAACTACCCATCACCTGCCACCCGTAGTCCCATGCTGGTTGTCGTAAGGGCAGTATCAGTCCCGTCCATGATATTGAAAGCTCTATGGTACTTCTTATATAGTGCTTTCCACGTGTCGCGGTCTTGTTCTAGTTGGCGTTTTACATCACATAACTGTCTCAAGCGGAACCCGTCTACGGTTTCCAGGGTCTTCACGACTTCCTCTACGACTGGGTACAGGCCCATACTGTGCATATAATATATTCTAAAAAATATCTTTAAATCGTATGACATTTAATTCTTGCACAGTGTATTTGAGGCTTATAAGGTTTAGATCATCGTACAGGGAAATAGGCGAGAGGCTAATAGGTAACTCTGCATCCACACATCATGGGGGCATCTTACTGAGGGGACTATAGAACCTGTTGAGGGGTCCGGTTGTATGATGATACGGCAACGTTGGTCCCTGCCTGTGACGCCCCAGTGTATTGTCACCCCGGGTAAAAGTTGCCATTCTGTATCATCAAAAACCACCCCGAGGCAGACTTCTATGGCGAGTGTGGAGCCTGGTTTCACGGTCATAAGGTCCAATTGGGAATTGGGGACGTCAAACCTTAACTCGTTCTTCCGGCTTGAAACTAACACGTTACCCATGTGATCCCGTATTAGCTGAGTACTTATACCATACTTCGGAACGAAAATCCCAAGCAAGATACCGTTGTTCCTAATTTCGGAGACCTCCCTATCTTTGTTTAACGAGATATAAGGTGCGGTGAGGATCATGTTGATCAACCATTTGGGCTCTATAAAGTCGTCTGGCAGACGCCGCCGCACGTACACACTGTTTCTTAAGTACAGGGCGTACGAGCCTTCCAAGCCAGGCAGATCGAACCCCTTGTGTCTCCTAGGCCCCCGAATGTGATGTTGGGTCGATGATCGGCCATTGCCGCCCTCCTATACACGTTGTCTTTCAAGTGTAGGACGTACAAGGCGTCTTCCTTGCCAGGCAGATGAAACCCTCCGTGTCTCCTAGGTCGTTAAGCGTGGCGTTGGGTAGATGACTAGTCATTGTTATATTACTGTCATAAGATAGTTTCCAACTTTTTTTCTGATAATTTCTCAGGGGTGCACTTCACCCCCATGAAGTGTATGTTGTCGGGTAGGAAGATCTTGGTGAGTGATATCGTGTCTTCCACAGTCACGGTGACCCCCTGCAGACTGGTGTGGGAGTCAACACCCACCCGCACGTAAACAGTGCAAACCTGATACTGGTGCTGTTTCACCCACCGGAGTTTGATTCCCTTCACGATTTCGACTTCATCCCGCGATGGTTCCCCTAGGCAGACTTGGATGACCAGCGTGGAGTTCGCCGGTAGGCTCTCAAGTATGTTGACCACGCCTTCGAATTCAGACACCACCTGCAATGCCACGTTTTGCATCCCGGGCTTGCTCGACAGCATGTGGGCTGTAGATGACTATGCTACGTCTCTGCGTCGGGACGTAAGCCACGAGCTGGGTTCTGTTGTTCACGACTTTGTTTAGGTAGTTGTCTTTGTTTTCCGTGAACACGTAGGGGGAGCCGAGCCTAATGTTGAGAAAACCAATCTACTCGAGAGGGCAACAACACCCACTTGTCATCGTCGGTGAAGACGAGGGTATACTGCTTGTTTCGGGCGACGGTCGTGCTCTCAACATCTGCTAAGTCGAACAGTTTGCCTCCGAACGATTGGTATACCGCCCATCTATCATCACCGATGCGAACTAGGTTGAACCGAGTGTTGAGGGCCGCTCCTGAGGTATCTACTATGTCACCTAGGGTTCTACCGATGGAGGGGACTTCAACGCGTTTGTAAATGTTGTTTTTCAGTTGCAAGGCTAACAATTTACCATCTACCTCGGGGTCGTCGAATCTGCGTGTGTCCCCAAGGTCGGAGATCCCCACATTGACGCATTTTTTCAACTTCATTCCGGGACCTTGTGCGCTAGTCATTTTATGTGCAGCGTTATGCTGAGGTATCCTATATTCACAGGATTATGCTTTATATCTAACACCGATATTATCAACTCAGGGATGTTGCCCCAAGTTAACCTCTTATACTGCCGCTGTGAAAACGACTCGGTTCTACCGTCGTTGTATTTCTCCATTTCACCGCTACGGGTCTCAGTATCGTGGAAGGGTGACCACCTTGAATGTTGTCCGTTGTGCTCAACTGGCCGAGATGAATGCACAGCTCTCGGTACGGTACTAGGTCGGGTAACTTCGTGCCTGTGACGGTAGTTGTGGGTTTTATCTCGTCTGGGACATCCCGAGTGTCCTCGCCAATGGTCGGCCGAGCCTCAAGGGGTTTATCCCATTGTTGGTTAACACCACTGTGCCGTTTGAGTCGTTCATCTTGCGTTCGGCTCCCAAGGGTTTGAAGACCTCGTCGCTTAGCGAGCACACGCTGTAGTAGCTGTCAGTTATCTGGTTGCGGGCGCCACTGATGAACAGCTTGTTGTTGTTGGCGTTGATGTTAGTCCATCGCGGTAGGTAGGTGATATCGCAGAGGGTGACTTC